CACAATGTATTAATTATATTTTATAAAATCGACTTTTAGTGCTTCCCAATTATGCTATAGAAGCAATTTCCTGTTACTTCTAAGCATGAGTTACTTGTATCTCTTCTGCATTATCTGTTTAACAAAAACCTTTGCTCTAGTTGTATGCCATACACACCATTAGACAGATCTTAGATGGCGTTAGAGGACTTCTGATGATACATATGGTCACGTCCACATATAAATATTTAACTAAGAACCTAATTAGACTTTGCTTCATCTCTTCCAATCTGATAGCAATTCAGGCAGTTCACAGATAACAAATATTGCTTTAGCAAATCCATGTCTTCATATAAAAACACTATCTCAATATGTCATTTCTGAAATTCTTGGTTATAATCTGTTTATGTGTCTCAGTTTGAGGATGTATATAATGCTTTCTGGAAATGGGAATTAAAGGGACGCTGTAACTTGTTTGATGTTTTGCACGGCCAACAACTAATTATTATTATTATTATTATTATGATATTTATAGAGCGCCGTCAAATTCCGCAACGCTTTACAATGGGTGGACGAAAAGACATGTAGTTGTAACCAGACAAGTTGGACACACAGGAACAGAGGGGTTGAGGGCCCTGCTCAATGAGCTTACATGCTAGAGGGAGTGGGGTAAAATGACACAAAAATCAGTCAGGAGCTATTAACAGTTTAATTGATACGCTTTTATGAAGAAGTGGGTTTTTAACGATTTTTAAAGGAGTGGAGACTGGGTGAGCATCTAACGGAGGTGGGAAGCGAGTTCCACAGGAACGGTGCAGCCCTCGAGAAATCTTGAAGGCGAGCATCAGAGGTGGGAGTACAGACAGAAGATAGTCGTAAGTCTTCAGCAGATCGTAAGGGCCTAGACAGGACATACTTGTGTATAAGGGAGGATAGATAGGTGGCAGCAGCATTATGTAGAGATTTGAAAGCAAGAACCAGAATTTTAAATTGAGCTCTATATTTTATAGAAAGCCAATGTAGGGATTGACAGAAAGGTGAGGCAAATTCTAGGTGATTTTCAATATTTTTTCAGTGGACATTTTCCCTTTAAATAGGAGATGTTTCAAGGGATTATAGCAGAACAGAAACAAAGTACTTTAGGTCAATGGTTATATTAACAGAATTAAAATATTCTTATCCAAGAACAAATATAATCTGTCCTGAAAAAAATGACCTCACTAAAGCCAAGAACTCATTCCAGAGCCAGATAAATGGAAGAGGACGGAACAGCATTAATGTGATGTTTTTATAAATTGAAGAAGATTAGGAGTATTTGGGGACTTTTTACACATTTACAGCTCGGAGTTTTAATGTAAACTTCCAATTAAATCATGTCCCCATTGCTGATTTTCATAAGGTAGTGCAGACCCAGGTATATTTTTCATGACATGCTATTACCTAGAAATTTGCAATCAAACATGTTTATTTTATATACATTTAGGTAATATTTAGGTAACATTTAGGTAACATTTAGGAAATATTTGGACACTGACACAATTTTCATAGTTTTGTCTCTGTACGCCACCACAATGGATTTGAAATGAAACAACCGAGATGCAGTTGAAGTGGAGACTTTCAGCTTTAATTCAAGGGGTTGAACAAAAATTGCAACCATTTTCATACACAATCCCCTTATTTCAGGCGCTCCAATGTAATTGGACAAATTAACACAATCATAAAGGAAATGTTAATTTTTAATACTTTATCGAGACTCTATGCAGGCAATGACTGCTTGAAGTCTGGAACGTATGGACATCACCAAAGGCTGGGTTTCCTCCCTTGTGATGCTTTGCCAGGCCTTTACAGATGATGAGGTTTGCTTCGGATCATGAGCTGTTCCAAGCCCTCTCCATACTTTTTCTTCCCATCATTCTGGTACAGGTTCATCTAAGTTTCTTCTGTCCAAAGAATTTTGTTCAAGAACTGGGCTGGAGTTTTTAGATGTTTTTTGGCAAAGTGTAATCTTGACTTTCTATCTTTGACGCTTATGGATGGTTTGCCCTCTGTATTTTCTCTTGTTAGGTCTTCTCTTTCAGTTAGACTTGGATAATTATATTACAACCTCCTGGAGGGTGTTCCACACTAGGCTGGAAGTTGTAAAGAGTTTTCTTTACCATGGAAAGGTTCCTACGATCATCCACCACAACTGTTGTTTTTCATGAACATCAAGGCCTCTTTGTGTCGCACAGCTCACTAGTTTGTTCTTTTTTTCTCAGAATGTTGTCACAGTTTACCAGGAGTTGGAGCCCAGTTGCAGGAGGAGAAGGCAAAAACCAAAGTGCAGTACAGATGAAGGGGTAAAACAAAGGCAGGTTCAGACGAGAAGCAGAAGTCAGGGCTGGTAGCGGAGTATCGTAGTCAGTAAGGCAGGCAGAGATCAGAGTCTAGGGAATCAGTCAGCAGAGTAACAAACAAACAAACAAAATGACCAGATACCAGGCCTCAGGCAGAGCTGGCTTTTACAGCCTGCTGATTAGGTGCAGCTGACCCTAATTGGAAAGGGGCTGCAGGTGGATCAGCACTGCTCCATCCAGGCAAGGAGTCAGGAAGCAGACAAATACTGGTAGATATTGAAGCCCCCTGGTGGACCGCAAGGTAGAGAACCTGAGACAAATGCAAGGTAGAGAACCTGTGACAAATACACCAAACTATAAACTTGATTTGGCAACTCCTCATGTTCCTGCTATCTCTCTGGTAGATTTTCTGTTCTGCAGCCTAAAAACAATCCGTTTCCCTGGCACTGCAGGTCCCCTCTCCCTCCCACCACCCATCCCCCGGTAGCTGAAGGGGTGAAAACCCCTTCAGGTCACTTACCGGAGACCCTGCTGATATCCCTCGGTGGTGGTTTCTGCTCGACGCCACTCCTCCCAGTGATTATGTCAGCTGGTGGGTGAGACTGATCCCGCCGGCTGGCTGAGGAAACCTAATGCGCATGTGCGTCAATGCCGCGCACGCGCATTAGAGCTCTCCATAGGAAAGCATTGAAAATTCCTATGGGGAATTGAGCGACGCTGGAGGTCCTCACACAGCGTGAGGAGATCCAGCGACGCTCCAGCACAGGTTTCCTGTGCTATGGACACAGAAGTGCCCTCTAGTGGCTGTCTAGTAGACAGCCACTAGAGGTGGAGTTAACCCTGCAAGGTAATTATTGCAGTTTATAAAAAACTGCAATAATTACACTTGTAGGGTTAAGGGTAGTAGGAGTTGGCACCCAGACCACTCCGATGGGCAGAAGTGGTCTGGGTGCCTGGAGTGTCCCTTTAAGAGCTCCTTTGACCTCATGTTGTGGGTTCACCACAACAGCTTCCAAATGCGAATGCCACACCTGGAATCAACTCCAGACCTTTTTTCCTGCTTAATTGATGAAGAAAGAATGAAGGAATAGCCCACAGCTGTCCATGATACATCTCAAGGCCAATTGTCCTATTACTTTTTGTCCCTTAACATAGTGAAGATGTAACCGAGTAAACTTGCAGAAGCCAGACACAGAGATGGATGCAGGTTTTCAGGAAGTAAGAGGCTCAGATCGAGCCTCAGATGAACTAACGTTCCAAAACAGGTCTGAGGGCCGAACACATGGAGTACATGCTTTTTATAGAACTATAACTCCTCCCAATAATAGCTCCACCCGCACATGCCCTTAACCAATCAGTGGACAAGATTTGGATTTCCTCATATGGGCAGACCACATGGCTCATCCAAAACAAAGGAGTGTAATTTCAGTTCCTGCATTCCTGCACATGCTCAGTACATTGATGACAGTATCTTAGCTACATGTAACTAACTAACTGATACAACATACACATATGTCACGTGGAAATCTTGGCCTACTAAATTAAAATTTCACCGAAATTCCATTACAGTGGCTACATATTAAAGAGCTTTATTATCTAAACCCTTCCTCAATTTTGGATGTGAATATCCTTTAATTAAAGCTGGGAGATTACACGTTAACCCTAAAAAGCTGAAATAAAAAAAAAACTGTCAGTATTCAAATATTTTGTGAGTGTCACTTACTTAGAACTTAGAATTGGGTGTGTTGAAAACGCATGTACAAAATGAAGTCCTTGAAGTGCAGAGATCATTTGAATTAATTGCCTTTTTTATAATCGGTAAGTCAGTTCGGATCCCCAAATAAGCCAGCCTGGCGTGCAATTTGGGAGGACATTCGCTATTCTTGGGTGGCTTTCTCCCTGTGGGCAGAGCCAGTGATACAATTGCATTTTTCTGGATGCCGGAGTTAGGAGGTATGCCCTTGCTGATATGGTCCGGTATGGGAGGAGGTCCAAGGTGGAGGGGTCACACCATGAGTTACCACACCCGGTGACACCAACTATAGAGATGCCACTGGCACCATCTACTGAAATATGCTCCTTATCAAAAACGTGAACAAAAAAGAAAAATTATAGTAAACCATATTATACCTCTACATCATGTTGTTTTTTTTTTTTTCTGAAAACAGCAGATTATCGCAGAACTGTATTTACAATAACTAAAAATAATATAATCTAGAAATTGACACATTTTATCTGCTGATTCCTGAAATGAAAACACATTGTGAAGTACCAGTTCATTAGCCTTTTGGAGTCCCCTCGCTTCTTTTTAACGTAAGTCAAACTTGTCATGTTGAATTCAGTTGTTTGTTTCGTCCTCTCATTACACAACGCAGCAAAACATGTTGGTGTTTAACAAATCACTTTTTTTCCTTGGCAGGTGTTTAAGTTATATTAGGAATCACCAACCTATGGCACAATTACAAAAAAGAAAGAAAGAAAAAGATAAAAGAAGTCGAAAGACTCCACTCTGGTCATCACATGGTTAAACCCTGATATGTATTTACTACTTCTCTATAATAAAGCAGTTCAGAGATAAGCTCCTTGGTTCGGACAGAGGAGGAGGGAGATGGAGTGGGTGTGAGTCTGTGAGTACAGGAGAGGGGGGTGGAAATTGCTATTGTGCAGTTATAAACAAACCATCAGCTACAGCCTGCACTTTGACCAAGACATCTCTATAAATAACCTTCGAAGAGAACAAGTGGGGAAACGGGTAGAGACAAGCCATCTTTTACAAGCTGTACCGGCCATGGAGAGTAAAAATGCACTGGTGGAATCAGTGGTAGATGTTATCTTCTGCGCAAACCGCAGCGAATGCCCTGAGCCAGTAAAAGCAGAAGTGCAAGGTAAGCACCAATTTGCATTCCTTGCTGTACCCCCACCTGGTTAGTTGTCTCTGGTGGTAACAGAGGGCAGCGAGAGAAGGACTGTAGGTGCTTTGGACCAAGACGCCTGTGATGCTTAGAACTGGCTGTCAATCATGCCGGTTACAGTTCATAGCACCTGCAGTGCCCAGAGGGAACACAAGAAGCAAAAATAAATCCAGGTGTAAATGTAAGCTTGTGGCACTATATATTACCGCCATGCGATGTATGTTAAAATATATATATATATATACTAAAAATTAATATACTTTAAAAAAACAATAAAATCATTTGTAGCTCACAGTGCACGTGATAAGGTATATTTGTCATTTGGATAGCACCAACACAAGACAGGTGTATAATACTTTGTAATATGGATGAATAGAGTTATTTGCTTAAGTGCGAACTGTCAAGAATTTATAGTGACTTACAAAATTTAGGCCTAAGTAGCCAAACTTAAAACATAGCTGACTGGGAGACCTCAACCTGCGCAATTTCTGCTATTTTCCCCCCAGCAATTTCGGCTATTTTCGTCTAAAATGTAAAATTTATTTAAAATTCTAGACAATTTACACTTTAGTAAAAAAAAAGTTGTCTTTTCAGCATCACTAAATAGGATTGCTCTCTTAATTTATTGTAGTTGTACTACATGTGATATTTGCAATAAGATAAGAGGTACTTGTCTGCTGTGCTTTCTATGCAAAATGAAAGTCAGGTTATCAAAAAAAGGAACGTGTTGATTTAAAGTGTAGACTTTAAAATGAAAGTCATAAAAATAGGGCTTCACACCCCGATTGTTTGTTTATTTTTGGGGGGAGGTTTTATATTTGAAAATCTATAGGGTAGTGCTACATATTAAATAAAATTGCCTGCTTTTTCACGCTTTTTAACAAATTAAAATGAAAGTAAGTTTTTCTTATAATTTTTCTAGTTCATATTTTACTATGTAGCGTAGGATTTCATTTTGTATTTGAATAAAAGTTTAAATTAGGAAAATTAAGTCAGCCACATTATTTTGTAAATTAGCCTATTTTGACTATATGTACATAGGTATGTGTGTTTGCGGTACGGAGGTATTTGTGTCCATGTAAAGATATGTGTGTTTATATGTTTATGTAATTTTTTTTTCAAGTAGTCCTATTAGTCCAGTGATGCAAAATAATAGAGTACTACAGAATTATTAAGTATTTATTTTTTGGCAGAGTAAGAGAAAGAACTGGAATCATACTGCATCATGGGAACTTTGAGTAAATTGACCCTTCCCTCAGAGTGTCAAGCTGTGTTAATTAGAGAGGAGTAGCTTGTTAAGGAAAACATTAAGCATGGTCCATAGGGTTCAAATGATGTGTCATCACCTCATGACCCTGGCCATGTTAGTTCTACATCACTGGCAGATCCATTCTATCCGGTTACTATTGTTATTATTAAGTCAGGTGGATTTGTGTCTGCTTTGTGCAATATGTTGCAGGTCTCCTAATGAGCACTGGGAACCGAAAAATAATACACAGATATCAGAGACACTGTCGTGTTCAGTTAATTAGTAACATACGCAAAACAGAAATCCATTGAAATATTTACTAAGCGAAACATCCTGGTTAAGGACTCTGCCATTAATAAATTGTGCGCCGATATTTATCCTTCTGCTGTTTTTAAAAGCAACGTTGGCTTGATCGTGTCATGCTATGAAAACAGCTGTTTGAGTTACAGTCTAGAAGTACAGCTGAAGTGCAGAGTTTTGTGATTTTTTTGTTTCCCCTGCGGAGCTTTGTGCTGCCTTGACACAATACATGGCCTTTTGGTGCCTTCTATACAAGCTGTAGAACCTTGTGTTGCCTCCAGAGCCCTTCAGTGCCTTCTTGTTTACTGTAGAGCCTTATCCCCTGTTTCCAATTGCAGCACCATTTACCGCATTGCTCATCTAAAATGAGCCTCCTGAGCCTTGTGCCTCCCGATTTCTCACTGTAGAGCCTTGTGCTCCATTGCTCATCCATACTGAACCTTGCAATGATTCATCATCACCCACCCCCTGCAAATGTCTGCCTTTTGGACTTGCTCTTGCAAGTTGTAAACCTCAAATTGGTCCCAAGTTGTGTAGAGTATGCTTCTCAGTTTAAGAGAATGGATCCAGATTTTACAGCTAGTTTGCTGCCATATCCCCTTCAACAACCAAAGTAGCCTGACACTACTTTCTTCTGTCTCCTCCAACACAAGCAGAGCTCAAGGCGGCTTCTTTCCCATCCAGAAGCTCAATCTCTTAGTGCTGCCTTCATTTGGACAGGTCTGTGTTGAAGTGAAAGCATCTCACATCACTATCATGCGTTTATAGACCTTCTACTCCTTAATTAGCTTGAGTAGAATTTCATTCCTTGATTTGCGTTAGAGGATCTTTACGTTATCATTTAAAAACCTTCCGTGCTTCTATCAATGGCCATCCTTGGCTCTATAGCAGTTATAACCATCAATGGCCCCCCAGATGTTTGTGAACTCCTTAATGATGCTTTGTTAGTTTGAAGGCCCCAGATGCTTAGCTGAGTAGCAACATTCATTATCACAGCAAACTATAGCGATAAGCATACTGTGATCATACAAACAAATAAAGTGATTTAGCACACATATACAGGAATGGATTTACCTTATGAAATATATAAACATATATAACACAGGTTCTTCGTGTGTAATTATTCTTTTACCTATATAAAATAAATATACATACACAGAGTGTAATCTGTATTTGCATAAAATATAATAAATAGGAGTAGTCTGTAAACTCACAATTTTTTGAGCCTATTAAAAGTTGGCTCTGGACTTTTAGCGCATTTCATCTCACTCCAGGAGATAAGTAGAAAAGATATTGGACAGTCACACGAACAGGAACTCAGGAGCTTGATCGTGTCAGCAACAAAGATTCCAGGATCCCAGGTGACAGATATTACAAATATTTATTAAACTTCAATATATCAAATAAAATGAAATAAATAAAAGCACAACGCCTTTCAACCTCTGTAAGGTCTTCCTCAGGTGCAGGTATGCAATCCACTGGACATATAACACATATATATAGCACTTTCTTAATTACAGCTGGTATTGATTGTAATGTAAAATTCCCTCCCACTTACAAATATGGTCACGGCCGGATGTGTTTCGCCATCCCCAATATGGCGCCACTTCCTGTTCATGGCCATAACCCATGCCCTCCCGGCCACATAGAGCTTGTCTCTTGTCCATGTTCCTCCTCTTGCACTACATCATTTCCGATGTTGTATTCCCGGGTGCCATCATGTCACTTCCGCTGACGTTTTCCTGACTTTCAGTCCGTCGCGTCATTTCCGGTGACGTGTTCCTCTGCGATCTCATCCCATTATATCATCATAATGTGGCAATCATTTTCTCGTGGGCGTCCCAGAGGGATGATATAAGGCATATAAAGTCCGTTTTGGAAATGGGCATATATCCCCATAATATCCATAGTGTCCATAAAATATGTGCAGCATAAAGATAAAAAATAGAAAATAACACAAGATTTTAAATATACATAATTAAAAGTATATATATATAAATAAAAACAAATATTATATAAATATTTTCTTACTTTTTAAAAATGACAAAACGATATTAGATATATATATAATTTTAAAAATATATATATATATGTATATAAAAAAAAAATAATATTTAAAAATTGGTTATGTTAAGAATATAGATATATAAAAAGACCAAAGATAGACATCAACCCAGATAGTGTTAAAGGGAGCACATAAAACAAAGAATAAAATCATAGCATACAATTGATCTCAAAATTTATATTTAGCCCTAGAGGGGTTAATGTCCTCATCTCAAAGATCCATTTTGATTCCTGTAGGCTCAATTTTTTTAGCTAAATCTCCCCCTCTCCAATGATTACTTACTTTTTCTATTCCATAAAATTCTAAAGTGCTAGGGTCTGAATTGTGTTTTTCTAAAAAATGCTTAGATACACTATGATTTATGAAACCTTTCTTGATGTTTCTAATGTGCTCTCTAATCCTAGTTTTGATCATTCTAGCTGTCTTGCCCATATACTGATAGCCACACGTACATTTTATTAAATAAATTAAATTTTTAGTGTGACATGAAATGAAAGTTTTAATTTTATACTTTTTATCGGTTAACGTGGAAACAAATTATTTTATATTTTTATTAATTATGCTTGAATTAGTACATGCATTACACAAGCCACAATGGTAAAAGCCCGCTTGGTTTTGTGCCCACATGGTCAAGAAGTTATTTGTAACCTTCGGGGCCTTTTTTTCTATAAAACTTTTTGTCAGTTTTTGTTTAAAATTCTTAGCCCCCCTAAAAATAAACTTAGGTTTCTCGCCAATTAATTCTTTTATTTCATGTTCTTGTCTAAGAATGTGCCAATTTTTTCTTATAATATGTTTTACTTTTCCCACATTGCTTGAATAATTAAAAATGAATGGGATAAGATCTTTAGAGGTATCTTTGGTTTGGTTCTTTTTTCCATATTTTAAAAGTGGTGATCTTTCTATAGCAGCAATATCTTTGATCTGTTTTTCCAAAATCATCTCACTTTTTCCACAAATTGTTCTTTTAAAGTGCATGCTTGTGAATAAAAGTCCGAAAGATTTGAACAGTTTCTCCTCATCCTCAAGAACTGTCCCTTAGGAATATTAGAGAGCCAAGGTTGATGGTGACAGCTTTTAATTTCAATATAGCTGTTAACATCAACTTGTTTAAAAAACTTCGGGTCATTATTTGATTATTTAAAATATAAATATTTAAATCTAAAAAATCTATGTTATTTTTACTAATATTCTTAGTTAAAATAATTCCCCAGTCATTAGTATCAAGAGTGTTAAAAAACGTATCAAATAGAGTATCTGATCCCTTCCAAATTATAAAAATATCTATATATCTTTTATAAAGAACCAGGTTCGCACCGAATTCATGATCTTGATAAATAAACTGTTGTTCCCAATGATTCATGAACAAATTAGCATAACTCGGTGCGAACCTGGTCCCCATTGTTGTTTCTTTCATTTGTATGTAAAAATCATTCTCAAACCAAAAATAATTGTTTTCAAGGATCATCTTGATACCCCATAAAATAAAATCTCTCTGAGTCTCCTTATATAGGTTAAATTGGTCTAGGGAACATTTTATAGGCTCGCATCCTTTTTTATGCTCAATTATTGTATATAGACTGGTTACATCGCATGTAACTAAGAAGTAGTCTTTTTCCCATTTAAAATCCTTTAAAATATTTAATAAACTCATCGTGTCTTGGAGATATGATTGGCTCTTTTTAACTAAAGGTTGGAGATGGAAGTCAATGTATTGAGATAAAGGCGATAGGACTGAATTAATGCCCGATATTATTGGACGTCCAGGGGGATTGATAGGGTTCTTATGTATTTTCGGAAGTATGTATATTACTGGTATTCTCAGGTGTTCTTGCAATAAGAAGGACATTTCTCCTTCATTAATAATACCATTATTTAATCCTTCTTTTAGATATATTCTATACATTTCTTTGATGTCACTTGTTGGGTCTTTATTTAATTTTTTATATGTATCTTTATCCCCTAATTGTTGTTCTATCTCCTCTAAATATTGCACTCTGTCTAGAATCACTACTCCCCCCCCCTCTATCGGCTGGTTTCACTACTATTGTTGAGTCCTTTTGTATCTCCTCTATAGCTCGTTTTTCCTGAAATGTAAGATTTTGACAGTACTTAGATAAGGGTTTTATTTTATAAATTTCTTCAAGACATGCAAGTTCAAAAACTTTCATATTGTCCGATTTTAAAAACACAGGATTAAAATTAGATTTGCTTTTTAAATTTGAATGTATAATATCTAAATTGTCATTTTTAATTATATTCTGATTCGATAGTATTTGTGTTTCTTACCGTGTCCATGAACATGTGACTGTTGACACTACTGGTGAGATTATAGAGCCCTACAAACTGTGGTTTGTCAACAACATCAAAAAGTATTAGAGAAAATTAAACATTTTTAATGTAGCTTTCTTTTCCTGGCTATTATCCATGGCAGCATATATTGGGTTAGCAATACCCGATCACAGCAGATGGTACCGGAAAAAGATGAAAACTGTATAAAAAAAGCCATCTTTGTCATGTGAACCTCAGTGTCCCAAAGCTCCCAAAGTAAATAAAAGCCTAATCAACATATTACCATGGATAACAGCCAAGAAAATAAAAAATGGCATTATTCAACTTTCATTTTTCCTGGCTAACAGTGGCACCATAACATCAAATCTTTGAGTGAGAGGAAGGAAACCAGAAACAACATTCTACAGTTATCATGAAATATAGGTAGATAAAGTAGTCATGAAATAGCTAGAGGTATTATAACTAGTGTTGTCGTGAACCGTTCGCGAACTTTTCACGAACGGTTCGTGGCGAACTACGGTCAGCTGACACATCCCGGCCAATCTCCAGCAGACCCTCCCTCCCAGACCCTCCCACCTCCTGGACAGCATCCATGTTGAAGCTGCCTTCAGTAAAGTAATATGCTCCGATACACTTTCCAAGCATGCCAAGTATGTTTACCATCCGTTACAAATTTTCATATTCATATAAAGAAAACAGAAAAAACTTAGAAACATAGGTACAATTGAGTGAAGCACTGGTAGTATTGTCCCTCGGTATCCACATGGGCCAGTGCGTGTTTTATCGGGTCCAGAGCCGGGCCAGGGCTCCTTTATGCACTATAAGCCATGACCCTGACCTGGTTCTAGCCCAGAGCACCCAACCAGCAAAGCCGCAATAGTCTGCCACTGTCCCGCTCCCGGCCCCCCAGCCTGTCACCGTGTCCCTGTGTCTGTGTGGACCCTCACAGGCTGATACTAGAATCTGTTAATGGCTGTATTACCGGTCAAGTGTGCTATGTCCCCCCCGAGCTGGTCATCACTGGAAATGAGATCAAAGGCTAGTGATGCCCCCAGTGGGACCAACTGTTGTTATCGTTCTGTGACCAACTGTGTAATTGCTCCGCGCTGGGAGAGCGAGATCCCCCCCCCGTCACCGTCTGGTGTCAAGTGGGTGTCACTTCTCAAACTGTTTCCATAGATCCCACACTCTTTGGAAGGTGATCGTTGTATTTCGAACCTGTGCCATCAACTTATCCATCAAATAATTGTCTTTGATTTTGACAATGAGCATTTCTAATTGGGGTGTCTCCGGTTTTACCCAGTTTTGAGCTAAAGTTCTGCGGGCTAGCTATATCATGTTTAGTAATCTTTGTTCAAACTTATCCAGTCCTTTTGTAGGTCTGGACAAAAGACATGCTCAGGGATCTAAAGTTAGCCTCCGTTGTAGGATGCGTGAGCCTAGGTCTACCACCCCCTTCGAGTAGTCTTTGACTTTGGGACAGTGCCACCACGTGTGGATGTAGCTGCCTTTCTCCCCACATAGGTGCCAGCATGTGTCCGTTGGGCTAGTGTTCATGTGGTGCTGTTTGACGGGAGTTGTGTACCATCTGAAAAGTGTTTTGTACGCTTGTTCTTGTAACGTTGTACAAATTGAAGCTTTTGCACAGGCTTCCCAGATGTCCTGCCAATCTATCCTCTCTAATGTCTCCCCCAGGTCCGTGTATTGTAATGTGCCCCCTGCCTCTGATTCTGAGCTTAAGTGACTATAGAGTAGGGAGATTAGTCCTGTTGCACCCTTTTGATACTGATTTGTCCCAGCATCATTCTAAGGGGGATACATCTGGCTGAGTCATTTCGGCAATGCCCACTACGCACATGGTGGCATCACAGTAATGGTGCTGGCAAATAGCATTCTTCTTCTCCATATATATATATATATATATATTCATTTCCCCATTTAGTCCATGTCCTGTCATGGTTCTTGTTATGCGATTGTGTGCGATTTCCTTGTTTTTGACCTTGTTCGACTATTCCTTGACTATTATCTACATTAAGTCTGGCCACTATATGGACCGGTAATTTGTGGCTATCCTGTATTTTTCCTTTTGGGAATTTCTCACTCTTTGTCCTTTTCTCTGCATGACTGAGGTGTTGCAGCTGATATGTATAAGAATACTGACGAAGGCACCAAATGACTTTGATAGGATAGTACAGATGCGAAAAACCAACATATCAGCATAAACAACAAAACATTTCAATTAGCACTGAAGCAAAGACAATAACAGAGAAAGTGCCTTTGAGGAAGTATATGTAGTATCACAGAGAACATGACTGAGATACAATGTTTATGTAGTCATTGTTATCATATGACCAGTGTTTGTCAGTAAGAGAATAGATATCCTTCCTAAATTCCTCCAGTTTAAGTACCAGTGAAAAAAAAAAGTGAAATAGCAAACAACCTATCTGGTGATAACGAATCGCCAGGAACATAAAATATGTACATTATCTAAAATATAAAGAAGATTACATAGTGATATAAACTATAACTAAAATATAGTTTCCAGAATTGTTAAGGTGAAGAGGCTATAAATGATGATTTGAGACAGTCAGGAGGTAACAGCTTCTGTGTTTGGATAGGAACACGCTACTTCTGCATAATAACACATATTTCATTCGGGCTTTTGACATTTCACTTTCAATATAGAAGAGATGGGTGTCTCGAACGCACCCTACCCCAAGCATGCTTGCAACTTAGTTCTGGGTGTGCAAGGATTAGAAATCACTAATTGTCTGTACTAGAACGAAAATATTGATTTAAAAAATCCATTCACCCACAGTGACTTCTAGTATCAAAAGCTGCCACCACCATAGCAAGTTATAATATAGTATCATAGGTTTCCCGAAGCAACCCAGAAAACAATTTTACAATAAATCTATGCAATTAAAAGTACTAATAAATTGGTCTCTAAAGGTAAAGTGAATCATTACCAGTCAAAGGCAGATATGAACAAAACAGTCACAGTGCATACATAAGAAACACAGATGACAAACAAATCATTTACACCAACAACAAAAAATAATAAAAAGGAGACATTAACAGAGACTTACTTCTCTGTTAAAATAATGGCGTTAACGTTAGATATACAGAGTTTAATCACTTTGCTGCCGGAGATGTAACTCCACCTCCAGCAGCATTATTGGGGTGTCATTAACTAGTCTAAACCAAGAGTTCTGGCTGGAGAATGTCCGTTCTTTGCAATTAGAGTTTCTCACAGCAGCACGAGTCATGCTGATGGGCGTCCAATGGCGGCATGGCCCCTGCCTCCACGCCTCCCATATCATTTCCTCAGCCCTGATTAGGCTGCTAGCAAAACCTGGCCTTACCGCTGGAGCGGAGGTAAGTTTTAACTTTAAATTTGTTATTTAAAAAGTAATTTTTTTAAAGAGGGGAGGGGGCGGGGAGGAATGGACCAGGATAAGAAGGATTATTGTAAACAAACCACTGTTTTACCACCTTTTTTTTTTTTTTTTTGATTGGAGTAACCCTTTAAGTATAAATGTCCAAAAACCCATGAATTTCTGATCATGCCAACAAAATGAAATTTCTATCATAAACCCAAAAGCCAAGCTTTGAGAGGCGTATTTACTCCAATCTCAAAACAAATGATCCAAAGAGCATAAGTCATGGATACTTTATATCATTATTAGGAAAAATAGAGAGTAAATGGAGGGTACTGTTCCTTAAAATAAAACAAAACAAGTTCTTTATATCTATTGTATTTACACAATAATTGGGGACACAGATATCAGAACTTGTGTAACTTTTAAAGGAACACTTGAAGCACCATAACCACACGGCGTGCTGTAGTGGTAATAGTGCTTAGAGTGTCCCTTTAATCTTTTAATGATCACAGTCTATGCTGTCATATAGAACACTGTTTTAACATTAAGTAATGGCATAAACTGTCATGTATTAAAGGTTACATCCCTTCTAGTGCCAGGGAGCCTTAGGTAGCAATCAATACATGAGAGTCAATTAGTGGCCCCAGAATGAGAGATGAACTGGCTGTAGAGTTCAAAGTGAGCACACAGCTCTTTAAATCCCTTTAAAATACTGTGACTGACCTGTCGTGATCAGCAGGGGATTCCGCACTTGCAGGTGACGAAGCAAGACCACCAATGTATAAGGGTGCTTAGTACAGTGACACAGATGGTGTCACTTTACCAAATCATATCTCTAGTAAGTAAGCAAAGAGGCATGTTAGGGTGTCTGCTATTTGACTCTACGGTCCCTCAAACTACTGGAAAAGGCATACATGTAGGCAGAGGTGTAACTAGAAACCACGGGGCCCCAGTGTGAAAATTGCCCTGGGACCCCCCCCATACATCTAACTCCTGCCACCCCCCCCATACGTCTATCAAACACACCTCAGTCATGCCCAATGTGTTCCTTTGCAACCGCACCATTGTCAGGGACCCTAAAACATACTGTCACCATTTAGACTGTTTTATAACCAATTTTACATGCCCTTTTCCTGCTCCTGTTGGCTTTCTTATACTCTGTTCAGCATACTGTTTTTATCCAAATACATACAACTTTTTGCCTTTTGTGTACAGTAAAACCTGGAATTGCCGCAGTTGTCACAATTGAGTAGCCACCCCTCCCCCCACCCCCTTTTAAGGCAGCGTAGGACTGATGTAAAAAGAAAAGTACTCTATGTTTTGGATAGATGGTCACATTAACTGCAGTATTACAATCTGAAGAATGGGGGGGAATAGGGACACATCCCCCAAAATTGCCCATTCTATAGGTTAGGCATCGATTATGTTTTATTTAGTTGTCTATATTAGCATTTATTATCATTAGTTAATATTAATTAACTAATGTTGTAAGAATGTGTGAAGACTACTTGCTAAGTGCTAAGAGGACAGTTGATCTGTCGATGTGAGGTTATTTATGCTAGCTCTATTATTTTTAATAGGACATGTTTATGATAACAACCTACATGGGCACAGTAGTTCATGGGCACAGTAGTCCACTCAAGCGACAGTATAGGGACGCGTTTGTTCAGGCCCCCTAATATGAATAGGCGATGTCAAGGTGTGTTTCTCTCCACTTCCAGCAATTGGACCAGGGAAGGAGGCTCGGAGAGAACAACATCACCCACCTGCTGTAAATGGTTAACTGATAAGTGGGGACAAGCAAGCAGGCATTTAAAAACCAGGCTATAAGGTGACATTGTGTTTCAGGGTCTCTGATGATGATGCTTCGCACCAAAACATACATTGGACCTGCACAGGTGGTGTACATACGATTTGAGCACTTAAAGGACCACTATAGTGCCAGGAAAACATACTAGGGTCCCCCTCCCGCCGGACTCTAGGGGGTGGAAGGGGTTAAACTTACCTCTTTCTCCAGCGCCGGGCGGGGAACTCTCCGCCTCCTCTCCTCCCTCTTCTCACGTCACTGGCTGAATGTGCATGAGCGGCAAGAGTCACGCGCGCATTCAGCCAGTCTCAAAGGAAAGCATTCTCAATGCTTTCCTATGGACGCTGGCGTCTTCTCACTGTGAAAATCACAGTGAGAAGCGCGGAAGCGCCTCTAGCAGCTGTCAATGAGACAGCCACTAGAGGCTGGATTAACCCTATTATAAACATAGCATTTTCTTTGAAACTGCTATGTTTATAAAAAATAAAAAAAAAGGGTTAAACCTAGGTGGACCTGGCACCCAGACCACTTCATTAAGCTGAAGTGGTCTGGGTGCCTATAGTGGTCCTTTAATTATCATGTTTGATATTTCAGTAGAGCTATGTAGTTTAGTATCCCATATCCTAAAGGGTATGCAACTTTCTTATGTTAGGGCAACTGATGTATTATTTATTTCCTTTTAGTGTATAAGGCTCAGTAAGTAAGAGTGTATTATATGGTCTAGAGGAGTTATAAAAGATTGTGGGAAGATTTGCAAGATTTGGGGAATGTTTGTTGTAAGGATTCATTACATTTTGGGGGCCCTGTGTTTTAGGCCTGCAACATGAAATTAGGTTCCCTTCAGTCCCAAGTAAGATGGCTGGTATAAATCTCCTTCACTTTCCAAACCGTCACTGTTTTATTCGAGTAAGATTGTGCCACTCTGAAGGTTAATTGTTTGTATGGAAATGGGTCTTAGTTTCTAAAATAAGTTAGTGTTCTGCTAAACGGACACTAATACTTTGTATCACGGAAATAATGACTAAATATTAGGAGCTCCACTTATTACAGGCATACAAAATTAAATAGGCGATACTATTCTAACCCGATATTTTATTGATATTACAGGACAGATACCAAAATGGCTGCAGGGAACATTACTACGCAATGGCCCTGGAAAACACACTGTAGGGGACATGTCCTATAACCACTGGTTTGATGGCCTGGCCTTGCTACACAGTTTCACTTTCAAAGATGGTAAGTGTTGGCTTTTCAAATTAAGTAGAAGTAAATCTTCATACATATCATACGCTATTATGCAAATATATTGTACTTAAGGCTGTCATCATCTTTACTACTGAAAATAAAAGGCTGAATTGTAACCTTTTTGTATATACGTATGTATATGTATGCCTCTGTTCACGGAGTCCTTGGTAATTTCTCTACTGTAAAGTAATCGGCAGGAACATTCCATTCATTTATCTGGAGGTGTCCCAGTTCTGAACTATATACATGAATGTTGTTTTTTAAACTCATTGAGGGATATTTATCAAAGTGTCTTGAAACATCACACTTCCATTTTGTCATCATATTGATCATACTTATTAAAGTCTTCTAAGAGTCGTCTAAAAATTGGATGGGTTTCTTTGTAGCAAATTCAAATTTTTACAGACAGTTCCTTCTCGGAAGATCTCAAAACTTAAAATGGTGGAAAAACGAGAAATAAAACAGAACATATTTTTTTGTTGTAAAAGTGTCTGAAAGATTGCTATATTCAAAAAATGACAAGGAGCAAAAGAATCAACAGATGAAAAAACTGACAGATGTAATAAATCTCGTCAACAATTGGCCAAAACTGAGATGTAAAAATGTTAGCAAGACTTTGATAAATCTCCCCCATTGTTGTATGTAACCAAATGACCTGCTTCAGTAGATAAATTTCCTATTTGTATATAAGACTGCGTTGTGGTGACACACATATATAACTATTTTAATATATTTGTACTGTATAATGTTTAGGCAATAGGTCTCAATTTCAGTCTGAATTTATAGTTATGTTTTAGATAGATCAATAAAAATTTTTAAATAAAGGTGAGGGAAAAAAAACAAAAAGGTATAAGAGCTTGACTGAAGCTTCATATTAAGAGGGTTACGCCAGTTGCCCCTACCCACTTCTCCGTTCCTTTTTCCACCTCAAAATGGCTGTCTGTCCAACAGCTTTCTCATACATAACTCCACAAGTGCGGAATAACCTGTCAGAGAATATTAACTCAGTCACCGGTCTAAACTCCCAAAAATACTTTAATTCCCAACGATTTCAACCAAAAACAACTGCACTCAATGCAAATTTATAATCGTGACTACACAATTATAATTTTAATTGTAAATATATCTGATTTATGTGAAGTCACAATCTGCTTTCCTAATTGGCAGGTGAAGTTTACTACAGAAGTAAATTCCTACGCAGTGATACCTATAACTCTAATATGGAGGCCAATAGGATAGTGGTTTCAGAATTTGGCACCATGGCTTATCCAGATCCCTGCAAAAATATATTCTCAAAGTAAGTAAACTGATACTTCCTCTGTGGCTAATACTATTTGCTTCATGCAGTATCTTAGCTCATAAACCTGGCTCAATAAATTATTACACACCCAACATGCACACTGGCGTTATTAACTGGTATTTGAGATCAACCTTAGTAATACATTTTAAGTACATACATTTGGTGTGCCAACATCATTTGTCATAGTATATGTTTGGCAAATTGAACAGTAGGTGGAGCTGTAGCAAGCTGGACGTACTCTTAAGGAAGTGTAGGGTTTCCATTGTTTTATAATATTATGAGAGGGGGGGATTGAACTATAAATAGGATAATTACTTAAGAAAACTTACAGGAACGATAGGTTGAAGAGGACCCTGCTCAAACAAGCTTACAGTCTATAGGAAGTGGGGTATAAAACACATTAGGATAGGAAATATCAATCAAATAAGGTGAGGGTGAAGCAGAGCTGGAGAAGAGAGTAGAGTGTTGCCCTTTAGGAGAGAGCAGGTATGTAAGATATGTAAGATAGAGGTTACTCTGGGAGGACATATGCTTTCCTAAAGAAATGGGTTTTAAGGCACTTCTTAAATGATTGAAGACTAGTAGAGAGTCTGATGGCGGTAGGCAGGCTATTCCATAGGAAGGAAGCCACCCGCAAAAAGTCCTGCAAGAGTGAGTTGGCAGTACGGGTGCGAGTAGCGGACAGGAGAATGTCATGGGCAGAGCGGAGGGAACGAGGAGGGACATACCTATGGATCTGTGAAGAGAAATAAGAGGGGCTAGAATTGTTCAATGCTTTATAGGTATGGGTTAGTACTTTGAATTGACTCCTATAGGATACAGGAAGCCAATGTAAGGACTGACAGAGGGGTGAGGGGTGAGTGGACTGACTAGAGAGGAAAATCAGTATACAATAGTGATAGTGGAATGCACAGATTGTGGGTATGTGTGGTAACACTAAATGTTACAAACCACCTGAGTGGAAACCCATTACACCACTCAAAAAAATCATAAATAATACATACAATAGGTGGAACACACATATTTGGCTCTATAAAAAGAATATAACATAGTACAATATTGTCAGAAAAAAGTTAAATATGGTTATTGCAGGTAGTGGTACTCACAAACATGGAGCCAAATCTTAGCATATGGCTCTCATGGGTAGCGCAGTGGGACTCTTAGCAGGACGTCCCCATCACTCTTCTAGTTGATCCTTATCAAATCTGCAAGGCTGCTGGTATAATGACAGATTCAGAGATATTTCTGTCGTATAAGGGTGCCTTACTCTGGCCTATAGTGACTGATCATTACATAGGATGATTGGAACTGCTCAATAAGCTAATAGCACCCATATATGTTCTGATAAACACAATTTATGCTCCCTTGCCCTGCTTATGACATATATGTTTGACTGCAACTGAGCAAACATGATCATTGAAATGGAGTAATTCCAAATTAATTCAGGAGATTTTAAAGCGGCACTGTCACCCCCACCCCTCCTCCGAAAATCTGAAAGTGTCAACCCCCCCACCCATCACCAGTGATGGCTACAGGGATATGGCTCTATCTATGGAGGATTACATGGTCTTTTTGGATCCTCCATAGACCTTAATGCTGTACTCTCAGAGCTTAGAAGGATCCAGCAGAGGAAGATGGCGGCGCCCACAAGGGACATATTCAGGTAAGTAAGTCTCACCTTTAACTTTTCCCCTCGGCCACCATGACCCTCAAGTACGATGTCACCATCAGGGGTCATTGCAAATTCTGCAAATTCCTCAGACTGCGCATGTGGCACTTTAAGTTTACCTTAGACTTTAGCTACTGAGTGTGAAAATTTGTTTTTTTTCTACTTGGTTTCCAGTCCATGTATTATCCAATCACAAGAAAGCAGCTTCAACTTCAGATGCTACTTGAATTAAAAAAAAAAAAAAAGCAACTTATGGGTGCTAGGGAGAACTTCTCAGAAATATATACTTCTGGTGTGTGGGATGCCCCCACATATCTGACTTATAGCACCTTAACCATGACAATGAATTTTATCGGTATGGTGCATAGACCGCCTCTTTAAGTTAAAATAATATACTCCTAATCCCAAAGCAACAGCTATGTAATAATGCTCAGCGCAGACATTTACTGAAATAATAGATGCGGACATATTTTGCAACAGATTCACAGTGTTTATTCTCTATGTGATGTGGTGAATTGACAGCTGGTTTGTAATATGTAATCCAATAATAATTATTCTTTTAATGTTATTTTTGCATGGTATTTTATTAACTTAATTCAATTTAATGCTTTATGAATAAATGTCTAGCTTGTATAACCCCATGACTCACCTAAAACATTAACCATTATTATGACGGGGAGGTTCTGTGTCCATATCTACTGATTAAGTTGTTCTTTGCAGAGCTTTCACTTACCTGTCACACGTGGTGCCCGAGTTCACAGATAATTGCCTTATCAACATTATAAACTATGGGAATGATTATTATGCCTCATCTGAAACCAATTTTATCAGGAAGATTGATCCTTCGACCTTGGAAACACTAGAAAAGGTATGATCCCTGCCATTTAGAGATACAAAAACACACAAACACCCATATATATACATGGCCGGTGCAAGGATTTTTGACTTCACATGCAACGATGCATTTTGCCTCTGCCTCACTCCCTGCTGAGCAATTTGCAATTTGCTCAATGCATTTTTCTTACAGAGGATTTCAGAGTTAGTATTTCGGAGTTAGCTAACGTCTTTGCGCTAGACAAGAGGCTTGTGTTGAGTTTTGATTGTTAGCGTCAGTTGCTAATGAATTGCAACATGACCAGTTGAAAGCCAATCGCTATGTAGAGATTAGTGGCTGCAATTGGCTTTCATTAGTGGCAGCTGGTAACTCCCCATCTCTACTAAAAGTAGCAAAAGGCATTTTAGCGAGTAGCGGTTAGCCAGTAAAATATAACGACAAGATTGTAAACGAGCCCTTAGAGATGTCGCATTGCCCTGTTGGTAAACCCTAAAGCTGAACTTTATTGTGTTGAGCAGGTCCTGCATGTACTCATATAAATTGCTCATCATACCTCCAGCAAGCTGAAGCACCATAGGTACGATATGCCTCCCAAATTCCATCCATGTAACAGAATAACTGTGTACATGTCTCAGGGTTTTTTTCCCCCATGATGCCAGCAAGTATGCCAAAAACTTTTAGCCAATTACCGAGAGACTTCGGTATCCTCTGATACCTCCGTCTCCTCTATTCCTCCTCCTTTTTGGAATCCTTTCTATCTTCATCACTTACATCTATATACCCATCTAGTGAATATGTCGACATATTCCCCACGCAAAATATTTTCTCTTCTGTCAGGCTTAACATGAGCGCCCACTGGCCCTGCAAAAGGAACATGCACATTCTGCCTAGCCGTATCTGGAATAAAACCTGTTAGTTCCATCCTCTCATTTTCCTCCGATACCAATGATGCTGTTATTGATGTGGAGACTACGTCTGCCCCTTCGAACCTTTCCCCCGGCCCCACACTAGCACCCGAACCGAGTCCCAACCCCTTGGATACCACACCTGTACAAAACCCTTACTCTGGCACTCCACTGCACTCCAAGAATTAACTAGAGATTTTAGACTTTCAAGTAGGCCTCCCGATTGTGGTGTATATTGGGACTCACCATCCGAACCCTCACACGATGTGATCCTTGGGGCTGCCGATTGCGCACCTGTCTCCGCCACTCCTGTCATCTCCCTGTCCACTGATAGCGATCTAGTAGCCTGGCACCAAGTCTGTGCTGTATGAACTTGTCTTGAAGATCTACAAAGAGGTGAAAACTTGGAAAGGCCGTACCCTAGATTCCTGACCTCACCTTTCCCCTCCTGTACCCTCTGATTTGCTCTGTCCAGATCGTGTCTTTTGTCTTGGGCCCCTATTGCGGTTATGATTTACTGAAGTGCCCTATTCCTTATGCTCGGGTTACTGGACCTAGAAGCAGGATGTTGGTGGGCGGGTAAAAGGGTGGGCCATTGATGTGAATCATGTAACCAGAACCGCCCAAAACGCTGAACATGCTTAAAAAGCGGGCATGTCTGCACGAAGAATTAGACTGCCTGCCAATCATGCAGAATGACCAACCAAGGGCATACTATGCAGACAGCACCCTGAGATTGGCATAAATACGTCTAATGATTTGCTCGCTCAGCGCTTTCTAAGGACTGTCCACTAGCACTCGCTGGTCCACTCCTCTCCTAACCTTCTTACCAGCAGGAAAAGGCTCCTGTTATACAGTCTGGGCAGAGAAAAGCTGTATGTAGTAAGTGTAGAAGAAAGGGAACATGCCACATTGTTTGCATAGTGCACAAAGTCAGCTTTACCTTTACTTAAGCAAGAACATGTGAAGAGTAGTTTTAAAAAAAAAAAAGACATCTTTCTCCATCAGCCTCTATATTAATCCAGCCCTGGCGGTAGGGCTTTGGCTCTCGTTTCATCTCCAGAACTCCTGACATAGCTGTTCAAAGCGTGTGTCAAAATGTTCTCTCCAAGTCTGGAGTGATGAGCTCTCCAATGTGTTGAGGTGCAGCGGCCATCTTGGGCATGTGTTCGGACCACCCTGAGATTCTGTTGCAGGGGAGCTGTGAGTGCCTCCAGTGGGGACCGGGATATCCCCCACTGGTTCATAGGGTGGTTGCGGGGCTGCAGTATGGTTGTCATGCTGAGCTTAAACAACTCCCTTGCTGTTACTCAAAAGGAGGTTTTCTCCACTCCTCAAAGCTAACGGACGTGGCAGGCGTGCTGGGCTAGAAAATATCTACTGGCACTGAAAGTTAGTGCCAGGGAAAAAGAATAAAGCTTGCAATGGCTGCAGATACAAGGTCTTCATCTTTTGCCAGCTGTTTTTTCCTGTCCCCCACCTCCTCAAAGAAAAAACAGAAGAAAAAAAAAAAGGAGAATAAATGCATGCGTTTTTCTTTGGTATATCTACTAAAGAGTTAAAACAAATACATTAAAATAAATTAGTGGATTTCTGTACCCCAACCCGGCCCAAGTTATACACCTATGGAAAAAAGTCAATAAACTTTAAATTACAAAAAAAAAATCAGTGGAGTGTTCCTTTAAACTTGTTGCAGTGACAAACCAGACTTAGGTCATGTAAGAAGCTGATGTTCTATAGTAATACACCATTCATACTGAATACTTCAGAAAGACGAGAAACGTTTCTACAATTATTTATAAACACTCGGCATCTCTCTGTGTGCCAGGAATGTGTGTGCTCAGTTCACCTCCCTTAAGGTCACTGGTATTTATTAGCTGATGTTGAAACCCACAATTCCGTTACACTACTCGGATCTGTTTGTGCCAAATAAGATACATCAAAAAGTACAGCTAATATTAGGTTACTGAGTGCCAGACTATCATTTATCTGGAAAGGAATTATAAGGAAAGGCCAATAAGATTATTTAAAAATATACACTGTACATCAGCAAAAACATACGGTCTTTCTTGTCCTGTTGAAATGCTGCATCCTCTATCACCGGGGTAGGCAACCTTTGGCATTCCAGATGTCATGGACTACATTTCTCATGATGCCAGCATTGTGACCATACGTGCATTATAGGAGATGTAGACCACAACATCTGGATTGCCAAAGGTTGTCTAGGCAAGCTCTATATATTTATATATATATATATATTTATTCATCCTCCTTTCTTGATCCTCCTGCTTCCTCATCTTCTGTCCTTCTTTATCCTCCTTTCCCTCACCTCTCCTACTTCTGCTTCTGTTCCAGGTCAAACTCTCTTTTTAATTCCATCTGTTCCATTCCTACACCATCTGCTCTTGTCATACTTTCCCCCTATCCTGCCCCCTTCTCCTACCTCTGCTCCTGTCCAACTTCATCATACTCTAATCCTGCCCCTTTCTCCTATCCCTGACAATTTACAAATTAGTGCTATCCAAAAAGCTTCTAAAAGCCTTACATTGCTTTACTCTGGTATGAATGTCTTTTTGCAGGTAGATTATCTGAAATATGTAACAGTGAATTTAGCGACCTCTCACCCCCACTATGATAGTGCCGGGAACACATTAAACATGGGAACATCAATTGGTGACAAAGGGAAGACAAAATACACTGTGTTTAAGATTCCTCCTGCTTCTGCAGGTAAGATACATCACTAAGGACTCTACATTTATATGAATAGAGATTTCATTTTTAAAGCCAATATCTGGGTTACAAATGGCATAATACTGCAGCTGATTGACCAAGTCTATGAAATATGATTTTGAAATAGTACTTGAGAGAAGAAGTTTGAATTTTTTTTTAAATCAAACCAATTTTCGAGAACCACCAATATCTGGGTTTTAGCAAGTATTTTTTTGGTTCTTTATTATTTGTGGTTCATGAAGACTGGTTCGAGAAAATCAGTTTTAGCCATTTTCCTTACTAAATGTTGATTGTTTTTAACATTTTGAGAAACTTTGACAATTACTAAAATCTTCACAATGTAAGGCAGTGGCGGATCCAGAGCCTGATCTCGGGAGGGGCACTTGTAGATTATTTAAATAAATAATCCAGGCACAATAACCACTACAGCTCAGTGTAGTAGTTATGGTGTCAGTAGTGCCAGGATTCCACCCCAGAGTAAGTAGTCATACCGTTTAAGAACAGTTTAACAACTTACCTGGGATCTGCTGGGATATAGGGTATAGGAGCAGTGGTGTGTGTTAAGGGTAAAAGTGTGTGAGTGCGGCAGTGTATGTCAGGATTGTAGTGTGTGTGTTAGGGGGCAGTGTATGTATGGGGGCACTGTATGTGTTTTTGGGGCAGTGTGTGTATGGGGGACAGTGTGTGTATGGGGACAGTGTTTGTGGGGCAGTGTGTGTGTATGGGGGCAGTGTGTGTATGGGGACAGTGTTTGTGGGGCAGTGTGTGTATGGGGACAGTGTTTGTGGGGCAGTGTGTGTATGGCAGTGTTTGTGGGGCAGTGTATGGGGACAGTGTGTGTATGGGGACAGTGTTTGTGGGGCAGTGTGTGTATGGGGGGCAGTGTGTGGGGCAGTGTGTGTATGGGGACAGTGTTTGTGGGGCAGTGTGTGTATGGGGGCAGTGTGTGCATGGGACAGTGTTTGTGGGGCAGTGTGTGTTTGTGGGGCAGTGTGTGTATGGGGGCAGTGTGTGTATGGGGGCAGTGTTTGTGGGGGCAGTGTGTGTTTTGTGGGGCAGTGTGTATGGGGGGCAGTGTGTGTATGGGGGGCAGTGTTTGTGGGGCAGTGTGTGTATGGGGACAATGTTTGTGGGGCAGTGTGTGTATGGGGGGCAGTGTGTGTATGGGGACAGTGTTTGTGGGGCAGTGTGTGTATGGGGGGCAGTGTGTGTATGGGGACAGTGTTTGTGGGGCAGTGTGTGTTTGGGGGGCAGTGTGTGTATGGGGACAGTGTTTGTGGGGCAGTGTGTGTTTGTGGGGCAGTGTGTGTATGGGTGGCAGTGTGTGTATGGGGACAGTGTTTGTGGGGCAGAATATTTATTTTAAAAATGTATTATAAAAAAACCTCCTCCCCCCCCCCCATTACACATACTGCCCCACAAACACTATCCCCATACACACACACTGCCCCCCTGTAATGGGGCAGTGTGTGTAATGGGGGGGGGGGGAGGCTTTTTAATAATAATTAATAAAAAAAAATTAAAAATTTAATAAAATAAATATGTCCCCCCTCCCTTCTTACCTTTATTGAGCAGGAGGGGGGACATTTCTCCGTCCCTGGTGGTCCCAGTGGTGATTCCCTGGTGGTCAGGTGGTCAGAGTGAACTCTAGCCCACGCTCCCGGGCTAGAGTTCACTCTCGCGAGATTTGGAGCGTTGCCGTGGTAACCGCGGCAACGCTTTAAATCCTGCGAGAGGAGGACCCGGAGGAGCTGCAGACTGAGCTCCGGGTCCTCTCTCTCACTCCCTCCCTCCACTGCCGGCCGCCAGCACAGTGCCTGCGGACCGGGGAGGGAGAGCTCTGATCTCCCCTCCGGTCCGCAGGCACATTGCAGGGCTGGCACTTGGGCAATGCCAGCCCTGCGTTAGCCAGCAGGGGGGAATCTCGGGGGGGGGGGCAATTGCCCCGTTGCCCCCCCCCTGGATCCGCCAATGATGTAAGAAAACATTCCATAATTATGGGAAATCTCTGTATTTCAAACTTGCTATCTTTGGTGACATAGAGGTCAGAAATAAAGTCTACACCAGGGGTAGGCAACCTTCGTCACTTCAGATGTGGTAGACTACATCTCCCATAATGTTTTTATAGCCATAATGCTGCCAAAGCATCAGGGAAGATGTGGTCCACAACATATGGAGTGTCAAAAGTTGCCTTCAAGTAGATAAGGAGCTGCTTTTTGGTAATGACAATATTTTGAAAAGAATGTGTAGCCTTAGAATACAAAGATAAGTACTATCTGGCCATCCTGTTGGTTTGGATTATTGACCTCGATTCTTAGCTAGCTGTGTTATTTGACATCATCAAGTTAGTAGTCCATTGCTTCTTTTGTGTTAAAGACTGGGTACATCTCTTATGTGTCATACATTTATTAACATTCTGAAATACTTCATCAGATACTTTAATATGTTCTGGTTCTCTTAGATAACGAAAAGAAGTCCCCCTTGAAAAATGCTGAAGTTCTGTGCTCCATCCCAGCTCATCGTCTTCTAAGCCCCAGCTACTACCACAGCTTCGGAATGACTGAAAACTATATCATCTTTATAGAGCAACCATTAAAATTAGACATCTTGAAAATGGCAACTGCCTTTTTCCGGGGAGTCAACTGGGCTTCATGCATTGACTTCAATAATGACGAGAAGGTATTATTATTGTAAATTAAGGCATTTTCATTTAAATCTTGTGGCACATGGCTCCATTCCCTTTAAATAAAAATATGCTCTTCTTCCAATATTAAATGATAACACATATGATGTTCGTATTGGTCGGGGCTTGACAATTTTCCCTAAAACTTAGAAGCCATGGCCATATGTTTGGAAGCCGCAACTTGTTCTTCACATACACACTTAACCAAACTCTCCCACACTAACTTTCTGACAAATATCTCATTATCCACACTCACAGTACACCAGCCATTCTCAACTAGCTGCAGACTCTAACCGAATGAGCTGCAAACTGTCACACACAAAACAAGCACATACAGCATACATATACACACACAATTAGTAAATAACTCACATACATAAACATACACAAACAAAGATAACTTACACATATACATACATTCGTGCACACAAACATGATCATACACAGACACTCACACGTGTAGATACTAGGCAGCTAAACCCATAAATATATGCATTCATACATTTACCCACATAAACACATCAATGTATGCACATACACACAGTCCCCTATACATATATGTTGATTAATAGGCACAGACAGACAAAACCGTCATAAAATACAGGGATCTGACCGACCCTTAGTCTTTAAGATGTTTGGGAAAGTAGGAATTCTCTGTGATATTAGTAATTAATTTACTGAAACCATCCTGCTGCTGCACACATGCTTCTGTACATTTTGTTTTTACATATGATATATGTTACATATACAACAATTCACCTTCCTCAGTATTTATCCAGAGCACCTGCACAGAATCTTGTTTACAAGCAATATAAGATCAGTGTGTCCGGCTCCAGGCTAATTTAATCATTATCTTAGTTTTGGCAAAACAATAACAATTCATTCATTACACAATTTCAATATACTCCACACTACAATGGTCACGTGTCTCTGATCAGATTAACCCGGTCCAGCAATCCATTACAACTCCTTATGCAGCTGTTTAAATGAACACTCCTTTAAAAGCAGTGCTGACGTCCTTTATGTGTCAGGATCATCTCATTTTAATTGCACTCAAACAAATTTTGATTTCTGTTTTAAATAAGCTCTTTTATAATTCACTACAAAAATGTCTCTCAGGCTGTCAACCAGAATGCTGTGGAGTTACATTCCACTTCCATTAGCTCCACGCAGCTAACATGCCTTCTACTCCAAGTCACCACACATCCACAGAGCTCATTGTAGCCATGCGTGCTGCTTGTCCAAGGGCCTCACTTGCCCGGCTATGACTTCTCATTAATCAGTACTATAACTCAGGGACAAGTCTATGAATTGGAAAGCCACAAGCTCACAGTTTAAAATCAGAAATGTCTCAATGAGAAGAAGACAAGAGGTCTGCAGATTTTGCAATCTGTTTTTGATATATAACCAAAGAAAAAATGCAGACCATGCATATCTACTAAATAGTTTTTCTTTAATGTAAACAAGTTTCAAAGACAAGTATCTGAGTGGCATGCGCTCTAATTTAAAATTATTCAATGTTTTGACTCTAGCCCTTTCCCCCTTTCCCCCTTTGCCTCTTATTCTTCTTTTCATCTTTCTTTAGCCTTCTTTCTCTCCTCCCCTCTACATCAATATCCCAAATTTGTCCTGTGACTCTTCCTGTCTCTGTTGTAGTTATTTCACTTCTTTCCCCTCCGGGTTGCACCTGACTTTTTTATTAATATGAAAAAGAGGTGCAGAAACTGCTGACTACCCCGCAGTGAGATCCAACCCTAGATTCAATGTTCATTCCTGTCCCATGTTTAATTCCTCTATTGACTCTGTTCATGTTCACAATGCTTGTTTTTCTTCAACTTACTGATTTTTATAAACTTGGTATGCAAATAAGAATCAATCATTGCAAATATTGATTGTATTGTATCTCATCATTCGTAGACTTGGATCCACATTATTGATAAAAGGACCAAAAAGCCAGTTCCAGTGAAGTTTTATACAGATGCCTTGGTGACTTACCATCACATTAATGCATATGAAGAAGAGGGACATATAGTTTTTGATATTATCGCATATAAAGACAATAACTTGTACGAGATGTTTTATGCAGCAAATTTAAGGAAGGATCTTTCTGAAGAATCTGTGTTGACCTCTATTCCTACCTGCAAGCGTTTTGTCATCCCATTACAAGAAGAGAAGGTTAGTTCAACTTAAATTAGTTTGAAGATCTGCCTGTCTTACCTGTGGACACCTACCAAAGCCAGTACTGGCACCCTGAGGCTATTTATACTTGTGAGTGAAACCATATACCCACTCATTGTACATTGTATTGTAATAGATTACACTATGTATGTTTTATCTATTTCTTTTTAGACACAGTATTCCTGTACTAGTGAATATTGCCTGATACTGTTAAGTATATGTTATTATTTTTATCTTTCCACTGCAACACAGGGTGCTGTGCATTTTAATAGTGGTTTTACCTCTATTTGCTTTTGTTTATTTACAGCATATAGTTTGCAGCTTTCGACATTAAGCTTTTCCCAAAGTAGAAAGTACAACTGTCAGCCAATTGTAGCTTATTTCCTGTATTAAATAAACCTATCCCATAAACTTCACCTGGGACTAATAGAAACTGATGTCCAATACCCAGGAGCAGGTCCATTCTGCAATATGTATGAAACACATCTATTTTAATAGCAGACAGAGCATGACTGCTATATGCATACTGGAAGCTCCATTCATTGTTTTATATTGGTAGTTATAGGACCCGATTTAGGTCCATTACAGTAATCTGTGAAGGAACCTAAAACAGTAGGTGGGAACCTCTGCAGCCTTAACTGGATTGTCTTCCCTACCTTCTATTAATTATATTTAAGCTTACAGGAAGTGAATATAGTAGACTGTATGTGCCCATTACTTGCAGCCACTCAATCAATATTATCCATATCGACACTTTATCAGCATTTACGAGATTGTTAACTTTTACATTGTAGTTTTCTAAGAATGCAGATGTGGGAGTCAACCTAGTGAAACTTCCAACGACCACGGCAAGGGCTACAAAAGACAAAAATGGAGAGATAGCGTGCCACCCAGAAGACTTATGTGAAGGTATATATATATATATATAAATGGATCTCTATCTATCTCACTGTACACTCACTTACTAAACACCAGCTTCAAAGCTCACAAATATGTACAGGGCTCAAAATTTAAAGCCTTCAGCTAAAATGTACTCGCCACCTCAAAAGTGCATATAATTGCAGAATTTTGGTTTTAATGTATGTCATGATCAGGGCATGAAGTGCCAGTGTGTCTGTGAATGCAGGTGTCATATGAGTAAGATAGGAGCTCAAAAAATGCAGGAAAAAAGAAATTATGGGAAAATCCTGAAGGCGAGGTGAAAGTCCGTTCCAAGGTCATAATCAAAGAATAGAAAATATGTTCTAAGCGTATAGACAGTATAGGCAAATTCTAGAAACAGGGAACTTAAGCCAAGGGTCATAACATGAGAAATATACAGTATTAGAAACTGGTCAGATCGTTCTTTGCTTTTGAAGAAAGCACCTGTTCAGGTCATACCCCCTGCTGACCTCCCTGCACCTCTCAAAACTCCCAGCGTGAGCTGGGATTGGAGCATTGCCTTTGGAGGTTGAAAATGCACCAATCCACCGCCACAAGTCCCTGGACAACCCAGAAGGTGTCTGGTCTTCCCCATCCTGAATAGTGTCGCTGACCCCCCAGCACCATGCCTCCTTAGTCTGCAGAACAGCACACTAGCCGGGAGCAGGTAAGTGCAAACCTGACAACATAAGTGACGTGTAGGTGTGTTACAAATGCAGGAATGTGTTTGTGTGAATGCTGGAGTATATTTGTGTTGTGTCTGTGTGTGAATGCGGGGATGTACTTGTGTGGATGAAGGAGTGTATATACACCTATCCTCCTTCCATTTTTACCTCTCCCCATCCATGCCCCTTCTTCTTCCTTATATATATGCCTCATCCATGCCCCTTCTTCTTCCTTATATATATGCCTCATCCATGCCCCTTATTCTTTCTTTCTATATGCCTCTTCTTCTACCTATCCATACTCTGTTTCTACATGCCCCATTAATCTGCTCAGTCATTTCCATCTCTATGTTTCTTCTAATTCTCTTTTCATCCATAAACTATGATCCAAATGTGTTACTTCCCTGGTATCTGGTGGTTGGAAGGATCTGTGAGGAGTTGTACGTGGGCTGATTCTAAATACAGCTCCCTCACGGCTCATTTATGTTTCTGTCCATACAGCCCTTGCCACACCTTCACTGGCTGTGACTGATTAAAGGTTAACTTTTTTCAAGTTTCTATCTCCTGCTATGCAAATTGAACTTTACTCACAGATCCCCTGCAGGGTCTAGCAAGCTATCAATAGAGTGGGAGATAAGAAATTCAAAATTAAACAAACTGTGCAATAAAGGAAGTGTAAAAAAATAAATCACACTTTACAGGAAGTGTTTAGTAAGGTGTGACTAGAGCTGTATAAACAAAGTGATTTAACTCTTAAAGAGAATTGAGCAGTGAGACTGCAGGGGCATGATCTGTACACGAAAACGGCTTCATTGAGCTAAAGTTGTTTTGTTACATAGAGTGTCCTTTTAAGGACAGGGTTGGGAACCAATGAACATATACATCCCATTTAAAACTCAGGCCTCAATTTAATATCATTTGGGAGAGTCTAATTAGATGCTTTAAGACATGTGTCTTGATGTTAATTTTATTACATTTGAAGATTCGGTCCTTGAGCTAATTTTTAAGTTGACTAATGGATCATCAAGCTAATGCCATGTTTAAACATTGGGGCTGTGTAAAAAAAAAATAGGTTAAGAGCTGAGAGTTGCAGTGGATGTTGGGGGAAAAAAAAGGTATGCAGCAAGTTTATTTTATATTGTAGAGTAAAATGTCTTCATTAATAGAACTGGAGTCACAATCTGTGAATCAGCACATACAAAATGTTTAAATATGTTTTTATATTTTTTAGGAATCGAGTTGCCACGTATCAACTATGACTACTACAATGGCAAAAAATACAGATATGTGTATGCATCGCATGTGGAATGGCGACCGATTCCTACCAAGGTAAAACATTTTTATCTGAATGTATCATTTTTCTTGTATGGCCATAAAAAATACATAAGTCAATTATGATATATACAATTAAACATACAAGAGAATGTTAATGAGTGCAGTGCTCTAATTATTATTATTTATAAAGCTCCAACAAAGTCTGCCGCACTGTACAATGGGTGGACTAACAGACCAATATTTACAACAAGACAAGTTAAACTCACAGGAACAGAGGGTGTTGACGGCCCTCTGACGAGCTTACATTCTAGACGGAATGAGTTTAGATTTGAAAAGAAGTGGGTTTAATTCATTAAACAGTAATAATATGGATTTCTAAAATAGTGTGCTCTATTTACAAGAGGTTTTAGTACACATGTGTTACAAAGTATTATGATATTTTAATTTACTATGCCAGAGAAGACATAGGTTCAAATGAGACATGTGTCCATCAAGTTCAGCCTTTCTCATATCTGTTTTTGCCGTTGATCCAAAAGAAAGCAAAAAAACAGTTTAGGGGCAAAGGGGGTAGGGGTCTAGGCTTGACCGCCATACTGAGCAGTTGCACTGAGAACGAGCACCAGGTGAAAGCCTATGAATCTGATAAATTACTGACTCCTCATTGAGTAAATTTGCACTGCCTGGGCCGGCGACGACCTACAAGTCTCGGGGAGACAAACTCTACAGAGTTACATTACTTACCACTTTTGTCAAGCTTAAAAATTTACCATTATTGACAACTCTCCGTACTCTATCTTTTAGCCAATGTTCTACCCAAGAACAAGAATTTTCATATAGACCAATTTCTTTACTAAGAAACACTATCCTATTTTGTGGACCTGTACTAAATGTAGTAACCTTTCAAATACTTTCTCAATCACAGAAGTTAAATAAACACTATCACTGCTGTGGAGTCAGTGGCTGGTGGTGAGGGGATGGGGGGGGGAGGGCGGGTAAGGTTGAGATTTACTTACCTGAACCTGTCCCTCGCGGATGCAGCCATCTTATTCCGGTGAGTCTTTTTCAGCCAAGAGCCGACCTCACTGCTGTTTTCTTGTCCATGTGCGAGTGTACATCATTGAGGTCTATGGAGAAATGTAGAATGTGACAGCAGATAGGAACCATTTGACCGATCGAGCCTGCCAAATTTTCAAAATACTTTCATTAATCTCTGGCCTTATCTTATAGTTTATGTCTTGCGAGACAGCGGGATCCTACATAGACAGAGCCACTTCCTTTCAGCTGTCACTGGAGATGACTGTCTGGATTGACACTGAATCTCTAGGAAAGTCAGACAGAGAAAATATACAAAGACAAAGTAGTCCTTACTTTGTGTCTGTACATCTCTTGAATGGGTTGGAATTCCTGTGAAATTCCAACACAGTCATAATGAAAATTTCATGAAGATTCTATCTTTATGAAATATTCATTTTACAGGGGAGGTAATTGTGCCGCCTTAAGCTCACAGGTCTAAAATTTCCAGGCAAAGATTTCAAACCTATACCTTAAGTGGGTGTTACCTTAAGAACCAGGACTTTAAGGCTCTGGAAAAGGTGAGCTCAATACCTACATTTATCATTGTATGGTATTTTATTAACTATATTACACATTGGATGCATCTACCATTTCATTCTTTTTGGAGGAAACATCAACGGAAAATAATGGTGGGATGCTGCCCTAAAAAGCATACAAGCCCTGTTTACGGAGCCAATTCTGTAGGCTCTTTGAAATGTGAGTGATCCATTCTGCTATTTGATTGAATTATCACAGTGTATTACAATCTAAACTATATTGCATCTTCTATTTTTATATATATATATACACATACACACACACATTTGACGTGCACGGTCCGATCAAGACCTTGAGGGGCAACCCGAAAATTCTCATAGCGCTCCACTTAAAAGGTATAGGTTTTTCATATACCAATTTCTGTCTTTTTGTAAAATTGTGTGTGGAGTAAAGGGTAATCCACACTAGTGTACAGAGGTGCTATATACCATTTTCACTATAAACACTTTTTTTTTGTAACACACATTCTCCCAAAAGGAGATTTTGTTTAAAGATTTCAAACCCTTTTTGGATATAGGAACTAAACTGCCTTCCTCCAATCCTCCGGTACAATTCTTGAAATAAAAGAATCCTGAAATTAAATCCATTATAAACAGAGGTTCACTTTAGACACGTGCAATTCGTTTCAGTCTGAATATGAATTCGGACGAATTTCGGACAATTCGAACATTTGGGTACTTCCGAATGTCCGAATAGCCGAATTGCCGAAGTGCTGAATTGCTGAGGTCCCGAAGTTCTGAAATTAATGAATTTCCAAAGTGTCGAAGTGCCGAAGGTCTGAATTGCCGAAGTTCCAAAGTATCAAAGTGCCGAAGTTCCGAAGCACAATATTGTCTAAGGACTAATATACTTACCCAGTGGAAGAAGAAGAATGTTACACTGTATACAAGTTTAAATAAAAAGTATACAAACATAGCCAGGATTCAGCTATACTGCGAGTAGGGGCACGTCTATTAAAAAAACAAAAAAACAAAACACATTCCCCCTCCCAAGCCCCCACCTGTGCCGCGCGAGTGGGGGCTTCTATCCTGAAGGGGGGACCTATTGCCCCCCCCGGCCCCCACCCCTGAATGGCGGGTGGGGGCCCTAAAGTAAAATAAGGGGGGGGACCTATTGTCCTCCCCCATGGGTGGGGGCCCTAAATTAGAAAAAAGGGGGAACCTATTGTCCTCCCCCTGGCCCCCACCCATGAGCAGTGGGTGGGGGCCCTAAATTAGAATAAGGGGGGGACCTATTGTGCTCCCCCCGCCCCCCACCCCTGAGCGGTGGGTTGGGGCCCTAAATTAGAATGAGGGGGGGACCTAATGTCCTCCCCCTGGCCCCCACCCCTGAGCGGTGGGTGGGGGCCCTAAATACTAATTAGGGGGGTGGACCTGAGCGGTGGGTGGGGGCCCTAAATTAGAATGAGGGGGGGACCTAATGTCCTCCCCCCAGGTCTCACCCATGAGCGGTGGGTGGGGGCCCTAAATACTAATTGGGGGGGGGACCTAATGTCCTCCCCCCTGGCCCCCACCCCTGAGCAGTGGGTGGGAGCCCTAAAAACTAATTGGGGGGGACTAATGTCCTCCCCCTGGCCCCCACCCCTGAGCGGTGGGTGGGGGCCCTAAATTAGAATGAGGGGGGCCTAATGTCCTCCCCCTGGTCCACACCCCTGTGCGGTGGGTGGGCGCCCTAAATACTAATTAGGGGGACCTAATGTCCTCCCCTCTGCCCCCCTAATTAGTATTTAGGGGCCCCACCCACCGCTCAGGTGGGTGGGTTTAGGTCCTCCCCCCTGGCCCCCACCCTTGAGGGGTGGGTGGGCCCTAAATTAGAATGAGGGGGAGGACCTAATGTCCTCCCCACTGGCCCCCACCCCTGAGCGGTGAGTGGGGGCCCTAAATTAGAATGGGGGGGGACCTAGTGTCCTCCCCCCTTGCCCCCACCCCTGAGCGGTGGGTGGGGGCCCTAAATACTAATTAGGGGGGGGCCAGGGGAGGACATTAGCTCCCCCATCTAATTAGTATTTAGGGCCCCCACCCACCGCTCAGGGGTGGGGGCCAGGGTGAGGACATTAGGTCCCCCCCTCATTCTAATTTAGGGCCCCAACCCACTGCTCAGGGGCTGGGGCCAGGGGGGAGGACATTAGGTCCCCCCCCCAATTAGTATTTAGGGCCCCCACCCACCACTCAGGGGTGGGGGCCTCGGGGGAGGACTTTTGGTCCCCCCCTCATTCTAATTTAGGGCCCCCACCCACCACTCAGGTCCCTCCCCCATTATTTTTTTTAGGGCCCCCACCCGCCGCTCAGGGGTGCGGGCCGTTGGGGGCAATAGTTTAGTTTAAAAGCCGGGAGGGGGGGACCCTTTTTTTTTTTTTAACAGTGAGCAGCCACTGGCTGCTCACTGTTTACTAGAGATGCCCCTACTCGTGGTATAGCGAGTAGGGGCATAATTTACTAATACTAAGTAATCTTAAACACCTGTGTGGTAACCTCTCTATCCACACCAATCCAAAACAAACATATACATACACAATAGGTGGCGTATCTTTGGTTCTTGGGTACAAGGTATGGGGTAATTTGGGGTAATTTGCAAAAGTACAATGAAGTAGCTGTAGAGACAAAAGATATTGACAAGCACCTAGTGCAACATCATACAGTACATGGGTAACTTAATATTAGTTGTATGATTCAGTACTCACAAGGACAGAGCCAGATGAATATGGCTCAGTTTAAACGCCTGTGGGATAGTTTGAAGGGATCCCACTCCCTATAGGTGTAGTGGCTGATGTTGCGTCCTTTAGTAGTTCCGAAAAATAATCCACACCAAGAAATGAGGAAAAACAATACTTCTTTTAATAAAACGTTATAACAGATAAAATACAAATAAAAAATTGGTAACAAACTTCTAGCATGTCAGACCACTCGAGGTGGCTAAGTAAAAAAGTCCACTTTGGGGTAGCAATATACACCTATTGTGTATGTATATGTCTGTTTCTTTTATATGTATTACCCAATGGTACATACTGAGAAGTGTTTTTTAATGTTTGTTAGAAGATAGTCCATTTATCCTCAGATTTTTTTTTCACGAAAGAGTTTATGCCAGTCAGTATGTTGTAAAACTGCTCTTATCTTAGGAAATTGACCTTTTTACAATTATATATTTTAGTATACCACGTGTGCTTTTTTTTCTTTGTTTATTTCAAAAAAGTGTTTGGATGTTTGTCAAAAGATCTACATTGTTTGTTATAACCAGATCCAGTTGGGGCATGTGCCATTTGTGACATGGTGTCATTTAACACATTCAAAAACCTTTCATTCCCTTACTGAACTAGTTCCTTTATCCCAGTTTATGTCCGGGTCATTATAATCTCCATTAAAGGACCACTCTAGGCACCCAGACCACTTCAGCTTAATGCACGCATGCGCATTCAGCCGAAGAGGAGGAGAGGAGGAGGCGGCGAGCTCCCCACCCGGCGCTGGAGAAGGAGGTAAGATTTAACCCTTTCCTCGCCATCCAGCCAGGGCCGGACTGGCCCACCGGGATACCGGGAAATTTCCCGGTGGGCCGTCGGCACCTGGGGCCGGGGAGACATTTGGTGACCTGCGGCCACAGGGAGAACTTGGATGGTGGCCGCAGGGAGAGCTCTTCCAGCGGCCGCAGGGGGAGCAGGCTGTTCTGTCTCTGCTCCCCCGCCCTTGCGCGCTAGTTAATTAGACCAGGGGCCGGAATATGATGAGGCAGCGCAGGGGAATGGCAAGCTAACCTGGCAGGACACCAGGTAAAGCAAAGCCAACCCTGCTCGCCTCCCGCCGACATGCTGCAGAGCCGTTCCTGCCCGCCTCCCTCCCCCACGCCGCAGAACCGGCCAGCCGCCCTTTACCCTGCGTGACCTCAGCGCCGAGAGGAAGTTATAACAGCTCCCTTCACTTCCTCTCGGCGCACACGGGACTGGAGAGACAGGAGGAGGCAGAAGCAGGGAGTCTGAAACAGCGGCTGCCTACTCCCATTAGCTGCAGCCAGCCCCACTAACAAAATGTCACCTGCTGCTGCCCAGTCCCACTGGAGCCCAAGGGAGTCACCCTCCTGAGCTGAAAAGGTAGGAGGGTTGCTAAAAATATGTATTTTTCTTCTCTAATTTCTGTATATCTGTCATGTGTGTATGTCTGTATGGGTATTTATCTGTGTGTATGTATGAATGTTTGTGTTTGTGTATGTATATATTTGAGTGTATCAATAATAATACTTTGTGTGTGTGTCTGTCTCCATGTCTCTGTCAGTGTGTGTGTGTCTGTCTCCATGTCTCTGTCAGTGTGTGTGTGTCTGTCAGTGTGTCTCTCTCCATGTTTCTGGCAGTGTGTGTCTGTCAGTGTGTCTCTCTCCATGTCTCTGTCAGTGTGTGTCTGTCAGTGTGTCTCTCTCCATGTCTCTGTCAGTGTGTGTGTCTCTCTCCGTGTGTGTCTCTCAGTGCCTGTCTCTGTCAGTGTGTGTGTGTGTCAGTCCGGGTGTCTGTCAGTGGATGTGTATGTTTAGGTCACCAGCCCCCTCCGATCGCAATGGGAATTATGTTTTTATACATCTTTTACCCAGCGCCGTACCGGTCTCACTGTAGCTGGCCCACCTTCGTAGCTCAGATGATCAATTACCAATCTTCATCTCCTCATAGAGATGCATTAAATTAATTAAAAGCATCTCTATGGGTAACGTTCAGCACCTCCATGCAGAGCGTGGAAACGCTGACTGTAGGTGCTGCTCATTGTGGACTAAGATAGGAGACACTTTAGTGGCCATCTGAGTGACAGCCACTAGAGGTGTTACTGGACAGCAACGTAAAACTGCCTTATCTCTGAAAAAGCAGCTTTTACATTGAAAATTCTACAGGGACAGGCTATATACACCAGAGCCATTACATTAAGCTGTAGTGGTTCTGGTGACTATAGTGTTCCTTTAAGAATTGTATTTTTGTTGTGAGGATGGGGCGGGGGGCAAGGGGGGAGAAAAGCTGTCTCCTAACTTTTTTAGCTGGCTCCTAGATTGAAAGCAAATTTGTCAAGCCCTGATATATATATATATATATATATATATATATATATATTATATATTGCTTTTTCTAATATAAAATATTGGTCCTTTCAGACTAAAACATTTAATTATACAGTAAGCATACTCACATGCAGACACAGACAATCTCACTGACACACAGAAGCTCATTGATACACAGCCTCATAGGCAAACAATCTCACTGATATACATAAGCTCATTGACATAAAAACACAAGCTCACTCACTAGCAGGCACACACACAGCTTAATGTAGTGGTTCTGGTGTCTATAGCCTGTCCCTGCAGGCTTTTGAATGTAAACACTGACTTTTCAGAGAAAAGGCAGTGTTTACATTGCTTCCTAGTGACACCTCTAGTGACAGACACTCAGACGGTCACTAGAGGCGCTTCCCGTGTCAGTGCGGATTGGCTGAGATCAGGGCCGGCGCTTCCTATAAGGCGAACTAGGCAGCCGCCTAGGGCGCCATATAGGAGGGGGCGCCCTGCGCCCCGCCCGGCCTTTAAATTCTGCAACGCCTGGCGCTCTATAGCGCTCCAGCGCTACAATACTACCTCCCGGCACTGCCGTGGCGAAACTCTCCCTATCGGTCGCGGCAGCGAACGGCAGAAGTACACGCAATTGCACTATCAATCCCGCCGGAGTCCTGGTGGCTGCTTTTCGACACGCTGAAAGGCTTTGAGAGTAGTATTATAAAGAGAGGAAGGGAAGATTATTGCAGAGGGGAAGAGACATTACAGGAGGAGAGGTGATATTGTGGAGGAGGGAGAGAGACATTACAGGGAGAGGGTATGCCAGAGGTATTAGAGAGACATTATATAGGGAAGGAGAGGTATTGAGTAGGGGAGGAGAGTATAGGGAGAGAAAGGTACTGGTAGGGAAAGGTATTACAGGAGAATTGTGGAGAGGTATTAGAGTAGGGGAGAAATTACTATAGGAGGAAAAGGTATGAGAGTAGGGAAATTATTAGAAATTATTGGAGAGAAATTATAGAGTGAGGAGAATTATTGGAGGAAAATTATAGGAGAGGAGGGAAAGTACAAGGGAAAGATAGGAGGGAGAGAACATTACAGGAGAGGAGGTATTGGAGAGAGAGACATTATAAGGGAGAGAAGGTATTGAAGTAGAGGAGGAGAGGTATAGGGGAGGGGGGGAGAAGATTATGGGAGTGGGGGGGAAGATTATTAGGGGGGGATTATTAAATTGTATTTTTGAGGATTAATTTTATTATTGAACAACCACCATGTTCTCAATGAACCCAAAAAACTCATTAATATCAAAGCTGAATATTTTTGGAAGTAGTTTTTAGTTTGTTTTTAGTTATAGCTATGTTAGGGGGATATCTGTGTGTGCAGGTGACTATTACTGTGCATAATTATTAGGCAACTTAACAAAAAACAAATATATACCCATTTCAATTATTTATTATTACCAGTGAAACCAATATAACATCTCAACATTCACAAATATACATTTCTGACATTCAAAAACAAAACAAAAACAAATCAGTGACAAATATAGCCACCTTTCTTTGCAAGGACACTCAAAAGCCTGCCATCCATGGATTCTGTCAGTGTTTTGATCTGTTCACCATCAACATTGCGTGCAGCAGCAACCACAACCTCCCAGACACTGTTCAGAGAGGTGTACTGTTTTCCCTCCTTGTAAATCTCACATTTGATGATGGACCACAGGTTCTCAATGGGGTTCAGATCAGGTGAACAAGGAGGCCATGTCATTAGATTTTCTTCTTTTATACCCTTTCTTGCCAGCCACGCTGTGGAGTACTTGGACGCGTGTGATGGAGCATTGTCCTGCATGAAAATCATGTTTTTCTTGGAGGATGCAGACTTCTTCCTGTACCACTGCTTGAAGAAGGTGTCTTCCAGGAACTGGCAGTAGGACTGGGAGTTGAGCTTGACTCCATCCTCAACCCGAAAAGGCCCCACAAGCTCATCTTTGATGATACCAGCCCAAACCAGTACTCCACCTCCACCTTGCTGGCGTCTGAGTCGGACTGGAGCTCTCTGCCCTTTACCAATCCAGCCACGGGCCCATCCATCTGGCCCATCAAGACTCACTCTCATTTCATCAGTCCATAAAACCTTAGAAAAATCAGTCTTGAGATATTTCTTGGCCCAGTCTTGACGTTTCAGCTTGTGTGTCTTGTTCAGTGGTGGTCGTCTTTCAGCCTTTCTTACCTTGGCCATGTCTCTGAGTATTGCACACCTTGTGCTTTTGGGCACTCCAGTGATGTTGCAGCTCTGAAATATGGCCAAACTGGTGGCAAGTGGCATCGTGGCAGCTGCACGCTTGACTTTTCTCAGTTCATGGGCAGTTATTTTGCGCCTTGGTTTTTCCACACGCTTCTTGCGACCCTGTTGACTATTTTGAATGAAACGCTTGATTGTTCGATGATCACGCTTCAGAAGCTTTGCAATTTTAAGAGTGCTGCATCCCTCTGCAAGATATCTCACTATTTTTGACTTTTCTGAGCCTGTCAAGTCCTTCTTTTGACCCATTTTGCCAAAGGAAAGGAAGTTGCCTAATAATTATGCACACCTGATATAGGGTGTTGATGTCATTAGACCACACCCCTTCTCATTACAGAGATGCACATCACCTAATATGCTTAATTGGTAGTAGGCTTTGAGCCTATACAGCTTGGAGTAAGACAACATGCATAAAGAGGATGATGTGGTCAAAATACTCATTTGCCTAATAATTCTGCACTCCCTGTATATATATATATAACTCAATCATCTGGGGAGGCAAGACATAGCCTTACATATTACATGCGACAATATATGGCGCAATGGCTTATGGGGCTGGCATAGATTTTTTTTTCCAGGGCTGCTTTGTATCCCCAGTCCGGCCCTGCATCCAGCCCGGCGGGAGGGGGACCCTGAGGGTGGGGGCACCCTCAGGGCACTATAGTGGTCCTTTAACGTGTTACCCAGATGTGCAGCTTTCCCAATTTGCTCAAACAGCTGTCCTTCCTCTTCAATATTAACATTAGGTAATTGTGACATATCCCAACCAATAAGGGATGTCCTTTCTTTTGCACCAAGCTGATAAAGCTACCCATAAAGCTTCCACATTTTCTTTGTCACATTCCACTTGCTTAATATTTGACTTAACTCATAGCTGACTTACAAACCTATTCCACCACATTTAATTTCTTTTTCTATCCTTCCTAAATGATTTGTACCCATTTAAGTTACCTGCCCAGTCATGTGTCTCATCCCACCATGTTTCCGTTACGCCTATTATGTCATATTGCTTAGTGTATGCTAATGCTTCATGTTCCCCCATTTTGTTATTTAGACTCCTTGCATTATTAAGTATACACTTACTTATAATCATGAGTCTCTTACGATGGGAATTATTTATGGAATTGTTTATTACCGGGGGTGCAACTAGCTCTGGGCGCACAATTGCAAATAATTCTGAATGTGCAGTCTTTAGAGCTAAAACTCTGCAAATCAAGACATCGAAGTGGTGATGGTGGCTTGAGTAACCCTTTAACCCCTTAAGGACACATGACGTGTGACATGTCATGATTTCCCTTTATTCCAGAAGTTTGGTCCTTAAGGGGTTAAACCCAAAATTTAAATAAACTGCTAAATTTATGCACTGATTTGGAAAAAATTTGCAGTTCAGCTATAGTCAAAACATGGCTGTATTGGGCCAAATTTTAGCATGCTTTTATTGCTGAACTTTATGCCATATTTGTTTTCATTAATACACCTACAATCTTGTATTGCAACTTCCTCTAAAACCCCGACAGTCACATTCCCCAATATTTGCTGGCAGAATAAAATTGTAAAATAGTGTCAGGGTGAGAAAGTTTGCTCATTCCTGACTTCCCTAACTTCTGTGAATTGTCCCTACAATTGACGCTGTACTTAATAAACCTGTGAGGTACAGTTTCATTATACCTAAGGATTGTAGGAAAATACATTATAAAGATGCTGCTGAGAATCATGGGAAGTTGAGCTGTCAGCCTGAATTATGGCCTGATTGTGAAGGAACCTCCGTAGGATTCTGCAGCACTGCTAATAAATACCAGTTGGCTTAACATCAGCATTTTATGGGTCCACAGGTTCAAGTTCACTTCCTACAAAAAACAGGAATAGCTATAATTATCTCTCTTTATCATACAGCAACCATTTAGCAACTCTCTGTTTTGCATTGTCCTGGAGAACTTTGTATTTAATGTTTAAGTATAAAATATTAAGGGCGTATTATTGTTGATAGAAGGTATGATGATTCTTAGAACTGAGAAAGGAACATTTACTTAAAGGAACACTCCGGGCACCATAACAACTTAATTGCCAAGTTCTGCGGGCGCTTTCTTACCTGAAGGGGTTAAGTCATTCTTGAATTGTTTAACCCAAAAGGCTGCCTTTAGTGCCTGACCTCCATTTCCCCCAGCGGTATGCACTTCTGAAAATGACTTTTTTCTTTATAAATGGAGAACTACGGTTTGGCTTAGAGCATTAGCTGACTACTCTAGGCAATCCGTGACGCCCCTGCCAGATTCAGAAGCCAGATGGCACTGGGGCAATTTAAGATCTGGCGCTGGAGACAATCTCTGGTGTTCTTGAACAGTTTAAAACCTTAAGGTAGGAGTGTGCACCATAACCACTAACTTTATATGAAGTGTTTCTTTAATTAGTTGGGTATTCTGTGTATAGTGGATAATCGTGACAATTTTGCCTTTTGATCAGATTGTGAAGTTCGACATTGTGACAAAAGAAATGAGTATTTGGACTGAAGACATGTGCTGGCCTGCTGAACCACTGTTTATACCACACCCTGATGCTAAAGACGAAGATGATGGTAATTTGTTTGTTGTTTATTAAAAAATACTATATTTTGCAGTCTACACTGAGACACACTAAAGAAGATTAAGAGAAAATCAGCTCAGATGGCGTGAAGAAATTATGCAGGAATAATCCGCTTTGGGAGACTTAAAAAGGGGTTATTTATGAAAAAAAAGCAGTCTAAAATGGAAGAATTAGCAGGAATGTTAAATTCAGGCCTATGGTGACAGTTAACAATTTTACCTACAGTTTCTCTTTAAAAATAACCCTTAATATCTATTTTGGTGATTGTTAGAAAGAGTGTATTTGTCGTATATGGTCAAGAAGGGCACTGAACTTGCTGGTGTCTACAAAGTTGCAAGATCTTAAATAAGTCTCTACTGCTAGGAATAGTGCCTGTTTTCTAAAGATGTTGCTATGTTATTTAATCCTGTGTTTTTACATGCCGTTTTTTTTTGGGATGGGACAAATTATTCTAAATACTGTGGGATTGAACATATTTTTAATTTCTTGGTGCACCTTGAGTATTTTCCTGGGTATCTTCCTCCAACAACCTGTCCATAACTACCTCCGCTTCCCCCAGGTTCCATTGATCCCTCATTTCTGACCCCATCACTCCACTTCCCCCATGTGATTATTTAATCAGCATGCCAAATCATAAAGTGGAATAAAACCAAATTACTCATCTTAAAGGATCACTATAGTGTCCTGACACTATGTCATTCTTAGGTACCCCCCAACCTCAGGGCTCCCCTCCCTTGGCGCTGAAGGGGTTAAAACCCCTTCAGTCACCGCTGGGCTCCCACGGCACTGGTGACCTCTCCTCCCCCACCGATGTCAGCGCCTGAGTGGAGCGTGCATTCAAACAGTTCATAGGAAAGCATTTCTCAATGCTTTCCTATGGACGTTCTGCACGCTAGATGCGAATTGTAGAAGACAGGAAGACAGCCACTAGAGGTTGGATTAACCCTGCTATGTAAACATGGCAGTTTCTCTGAAACTGCCATGTTTACATCTGAAGGGTTAAAACCTGGGGGACCTGGCACCCAGACCACTTCACTGAGCTGAAGTGGTCTGGGTGACTATAGTGTCCCTTTAACATATTCCTCATTCATACATACATCAAGTTACCTTCAAAACTCCAGCTTTTTCATATTCTTTATATATTCTTTATATAAGTACAGGCATTTAATGTTTAGTTCAGCTATCATTTTGGCCTTGTAGGGTATGAGCAAAAAGATGCAGCATTATAGGACCTAAATATATTTAGAACTCTCTGTAGATGTTTTAATGTCTGATTGTGCATTCTGGCCCAATAATGTCATAATTTCCTTTGTGTGAAACAAATATTTGATTTGTTTTTTTATATTTTGGGTTATTTTTTATTTTTTTTGTAGGTGTGATATTGTCCTCCATTGTATCTTCTAACCCAAAGAAGTCCCCGTACCTGTTGGTGTTAGATGCAAAAACATTCAAGGAGTTGGGGCGTGCATATGTCAAAGCAAACCTTCATCTTGACCTCCATGGAATCTTTATCCCAGAGAAGAATTAATTCTAGCCACCAAAAGTCTGAAGTCACAAAACATGGAGTATCTTGCATGATGATATTGATCAGATATTTCCCTAGTATTTTTTAAAAATAAAGAATATTCTGCTCAGTTCAGTCCTCAGCAACGGAAAAGTTTTTTGTTTTTTTTAATGTGTTCTTTATTCATAGCACATATTAACATTGCATCCAAGCTTAAGAATCTCCAAAGACTCCAATGAAAATCCTCAAACTTAGGCTCATCTTGGAAAGACAAGCATATTCTATTTTAGAAAATAAATCATATTATAAAGGGAAGCATCTTGTGCTTTCAAACTGGACTTTGCAACTGACAGAAGGGCAACTAAGTTCTATCAAAGTAGATATTCTGCTTGATAATAACATAGACAAAGAATATCTGTAGTTATGGTAAATACTGCATATCAGTAGGTGAATTATCTATTTTCTTCATATGCAATGCACAGAGAATTTCAAGGCCTCGTTATGTTATGCAACAGATAGAATAGCTTCCTTTTACAATACTGTCAGGTCTGCGAAGCCGGGAGTAGTATTTTTATTCTTGGTCTCAAAATTCTGTAATATGTCCTTTATTGTATATTGTTTGTACATAGAATTTTAGAAATTAATTGTTATTCAAGTTTAAATCTAGTAACATTTTACAAATAAGTGCATCCTTTTACAGAGGCACATTCATTTTTTGATTGTGAGAAGGTGGCTTGCCACTTTCTCGCTGAACGGGACACAGTCCATTTATAGCTGAACTACCTCTGATGCGGATTTCATTTGAAAATTAGTTATGCACTGCATACACTAAGAGAAAACAGCCTGATATACAATATCAGAAGCTGTGCATTAATGCTGCTAACAATAACTATATCTGATAATCATTAGGGGCTGTGCATGGGGAGGAAACGCCATGCACTTTAAAATTTACATGGTATTTTCTCAAATTTACCAGGGCATCCCTTCTCCAGTGTTTATATCTCTTTATTTGGGTTTCCCATTTCATGTATAATTTGGAGTATATATAATGGTGTTAGTATACCCATTTCTGATTTGATAAGCTTATTATAACTTTTTTTCCAGACATAGGATTGACACTGTAGTCAATGTTAGACCATTGTTGTTAGATCCTTAACAATATTTTGTTAGCTGGTCAAACTTTATAATGTACATTATTTGTCGAGCAATAAAAACTACTTATTTAGCATCAATAATTTGTGCTAATACCAGCACCACTAGAACTATTGAGTGCCAGTACCGTATTTTGTATTTTCAGTAAAAAAAAAAAAAAAAGGCATACTACTATACCATCACACTGCTCACATTTGATTAGTACTATTGCAAAAAATCTTTGGGAAAAATATGCCCATATTACAGATGAGCAGTTCACTCACACGTGACATGTTCAATTGTCAGAGCATACTATAGGATGATGTTATTGAACTAGCTGCAAATAAAAAAAGCCTCATAACATATGTATAATTACTGTATAAATGATGGCACTGATAAATGTTTCTATTCTGTATTGTATCTTTTGTAATGTATGTGTAATATATAAATTAACACATTTTGATCAGTAATTTAATAATTTGACTGTCTAAAAACGGTTTATTGTCTGTCAATAAATTTTACTATGGATTATAAAGTTTGATAGTTATTTGCATGTTGGAAAAAGATATGTATTGTGAACGGTGGTCTGTTGAAGCTAAATCGTATACAGATCCACAGAATATTTATCTTTTAAAGGGAAGTATGAGCGCCAAACAACTATAGCTTAACAAAACTGTATTCCTAATGCTACAGTGTCCCTTTCTCTCTAGTGTTACTTACCCGCACCCCCACCTTGTGAGTAAAGGGTTAGAACCCCCCCCTTTTTAAATTCCTTATTTGTGAGTGAGAAATTAGGTGGAAAGACAATAATCATACGTCACAATAAACAGCAGGCGTTAGCGAAGTACAACATGTATCAGTTCAGAAAGTCGCACAGTGGTACATCCACTACGGAAAAATAGTAGAGAAGGGTTGCATGCAGGCAACCTGCTCTTTATATCACCATGCCTTTCGGTCGTCTTTCCCCCCCCTAATCCCTAGTTCACATTTGCTAGATTTTTAAATTTTCATAACCGTACTCATTATCTAATTATGCCTTAGGTTGTGGGTGGTCCATGGAAAGCCCGTTGTTGTCTCCACATCGAATTTTACCTGACAGTGTACCGCTCTGCCACTGATCCGGTAGCCCCAAGATTCGGACCTAGCTTTCAGTATTTTGGGGTGATCAAATTAGAATGGGTAAGCAACCCAAAGGTAATGTGTCTGTGCTTGCGCACACAATGTTTTGTCATGAACCTCAACGCTCAAGACCAGATAGCTTCTCAGAAAACAGCAAGTTAGGTATCTTTGCAGCCGTCAACATAACAATTATAGCTTGGATGCGTATGGGTCCACTTCCCAACGGTGTGTCATGCGTATAAAAAAAGAATACAAGAAGAGAAAGACAAGAGAGAAAAGAGAATAGAGAGAGTAGGGTAGGCAAGCTAAAATGGACGGTGGATGAGGCACGGGGGTGGGCGGGCTGCTAAGAGGCAGGCAGCCAGCGAGCCATCTTCGGCTTAGCTCTCTACAGTGCGCCTTAGAGCCTGGACCCCTCTCACGTGCAACCGCCATGTTATCTTTACTCAATGTATTCCTCCCATGGTTCCCATGTCTTCTTAAAGGCCTTTGTGGTCCCCCTTACTTGTGCTGTCAATTTGTCCATGAGATACGCGTCCTTCAGTTTGTGGAGTACCGTGTGTATGGGGGGAAATGTGGGCCTGAGAGGTGTCAGAGTTGCAGAGACGCTCGTAAAAAGTCAGTGGGGTGCAAGCTGCCTGTTTAATGTATGGTTGGGTGGCAAAACCCCTGACCTGGATATATCTAAAGAAGTCAGCTGGTGTTAGCGTGGTTCTAGTTTGAAGAACGTTAAAGGGAATGACCGACTCTCCCGTGTATAGTTATGAATGCGCTGACGCCCTGCATATTCAATTCCCTTAAATTCACTGGCTTGCATGCCTGGCAAAAGGCCAGATTTCAAAGTATGGGCATCATAGGGGGATAGGGTAAACATGAGCCTGTATTTCCCAGCTACGGTGTCCCAGACCCTGATGGCATTTGTTATGGTGGGGCAATTCGTGCGTATAAGTGCCCTGTGTTCCCTGGGGGTCTAGATATAGAATTGAGGTAAGTAAATGCCCATCATCAGGACATCTAAATCTACCCACCTCCTTTCCTCAGGGGGTGTGTGCAATAAAGCTATTTGTGTTAGTTGCGTTGCCTAATATTAAAAGTGAAGGTGAGGGAGCCCTTGGTCTCCTGCTGTCTTGGGTCTGTACAAAATATTGCGGGCTACCCTGTGTCATTTATTCTTCCTGACAAACCTGTCGATGGCAGTCTGTAAAGGGGCTAGGTCTTTTTTTGGAGATCGGAATGGGCACTGCTTGAAACAAAAATAAAATACGGGGAAGAATATTAATTTTAATTGAGTGGATGCGGCCGATCCACTTGTCCATGTCTGCCATAAGAGTTTTCATCATGGCGGTAAAGTTAATTTGGTATAGGTGTGCTGGGTCCGAGGGGAGGTTATTTCCCCAAGTATTTTATGTATTTGTGCGTGATTTGTATATGGTACATGTCCCTGATGGTCATTGTGTCCGCAGCCGACAGGCCCACTGGAAGGGTGCTAGATTTGCTCATGTTGACCTTATACCTTGATAAGGAGCCATACTCTGCTAGTAGCGGGACCAGGGCTCGCATGGACTCCGTGAGGTTGGTGAAGGTCAGTAGGACACCGTCTGCGTAGCCTTAAACTACAAAGCGTTGGTCGCCTAACCGTACTCCGGTGATCAATGGGTGTTCTCGGATAACCTGCAGTAATGCTTCTAGGGACAGAACAAAAAGTAAAGGGGAGAGGGGGCAGCCTTGCCGGTAGCCGTTGCTCAATGAGAAGAAGTTGCACCAAGAAACCGCGAGTTGGATTTGTGCTGTGACGTTGGTATACATGGCTTGCACCGTATTGAGAAAAGCATCCGGGAAGTTCAGGTGTCGTAAAACTTCAAACATATAGTGCCATTCCACGCGACTGAATGCTTTCTCAGCATCTAGAGATAATATCAGGGCAGGGGTCTTGTTCTGTGTCAATTTCCAAAGTAAATCGATGTTACGTTGTTTGATTTTTAATAACTGTCACCCAGAGATGAAGCCCACTTGGTCCGCATTGATCAGGTGACACAGGTAAGGATTCAGTCTTTCTGCAAAGATTTTTGCCAATATTTTGGCGTCTTTGTTAATTTAAAGATATAGGCCTATAAGCCTCAGGTGTTAAGTTATCTTTACCTGGTTTGGGTAAGAGGATAAGCTTGGCATGTGACATGTCCCTGTCAGGGGTGCCCCTTATCATTAGGTCATTAAATAAGGTTGTGAGGTGTGGGGGTTATCTCTTTGCGAAATATTTTATAATATCCTCCCTCACAGATGTCTGGACCTGGGTCCTTGCTGCCTTTTAAGAGAGATATTGCCGCGTCTACCACTTCTGTTGTAAAGGGAGCAACGATCGTCATATCGGCGTCTTGGGTTAATTTTGGTAGGTTTAGATTCGCAAGAAATGAGCAAATCTTTGTACGTTCAGCCGCAATGTCCGTCGTCGGGTTGTGGTCAGAAGAGTGATTGTATAGGGCCTTGAAGTATTCCATGAACACGTGCTACAGTGCCTATTTTGTTACATTACAGCCTTAAGTTCAATGTTTTATTAATCTGAATTTTATGTGATGAATCAGAACACAATAGTCTAAGTTGGCGAAGTGAAATGAGAAAAATATATACAAATACAAACAATTTTTTTAGAAGTAGAAAACAGAAAATTGGCATGTGCGTATGTATTCACCCCCTTTGTTATGAAGCTCATAAAAAGCTCTGGTGCAACCAATTACCTTCAAAAGTCACATAATTAGTGAAATGATGTCCACCTGTGTGCAATCTAAGTGTCACATGATCTGTCATTACATATGCACACACCTTTTTTGAAAGGCCCCAGAGGCTGCAACACCTAAGCAAGAGGCACCACTAACCAAAGACTGCCATGAAGACCAAGGAACTCTCCAAACAAGTAGGGGACAATGTTGTTGATAAGTACAAGTCAGGGTTAGGTTATAAAAAAATATCCAAATCTTTGACGATCCCCAGGAGCACCATCAAATATATCATAACCAAATGGAAAAAACATGGCACAACAGCAAACCTGTCAAAAGATGGCCGCCCACCAAAACTCACAGACTGGGCTAGGAGGGCATTAATCAGAGAGGCAGCACATAGACCTAAGGAAACCCTGGAGGAGCTGCAGAGTTCCACAGCAGAGACTGGAGTATCTGTACATAGGACGATAAGCCGTACGCTCCATAGAGTTCGGCTTTATGGCAGAGTGGCCAGAAGAAAGCCATTACTTTCAGCAAAAAACAAAATGGCACGTTTTGAGTTTGCGAAAAGGCATGTGAGAGACTCCCAAAATGTATGGAGGAAGGTGCTCTGGTCTGATGATACTAAAATTTAACTTTTCGTCCATCAAAAAAAAACGCTATGTCTGGCGCAATCCCAACACATCACCCAAAGAACACCATCGTTTTTCAGCAGCCGGGACTGGGAAACTGGTCAGAGTTGAGGGAAAGATGGATGGTGCTAAATACAGGGATATTCTTGAGCAAAACCTGTACCACTCTGTGCGTGATTTGAGGCTAGGACAGAGGTTCACCTTCCAGCAGGACAATGACCCCAAACACACTGCTAAAGCAACACTTGAGTGGTTTAAGGGGAAACATGAAACGGTGTTGGAATGGCCTAGTCAAAGCCCAGACCTCAATCCAATAGAAAATCTGTGGTCAGAATTTAAGATTGCTGTTCACAAGCGCAAACCATCACAACTGAAGGAGCTGGAGCAGTTTTGCAAGGAGGAATGGGCAAAAATCCCAGTGGTAAGATGTGGCAAGCTGATAGAGACTTATCCAAAGCGACTTGGAGCTGTGATTGCGCAAAAGGTGGCTCTACAAAGTATTGACTTTAGGGGGGTGAATAGTTATACACATTGACCTTTTCTGTTATTTTGTCCAATTTGTTGTTTGCTTCACAATAAAAAATTTTTTTTAAAAATCTTCAAAATTGTGGGCATATTCTGTAAATTAAATGATGCAAATCCTCACACAATCCATGTTAATTCCAGGTTGTGATGCAACAAAACACGAAAAATGCCAAGGGAGGTGAATACTTTTGCTAGGCACTGTATGTCATCTGGGGAGGTTTTAAGAGAGCCATCTTTGGCTCTTATTGTCGTGATATGGGAGTGGCGTTGCCTGGGTCGTAGGGCCCTGGCCAGGAGGGTGTCCATTTGATTGGACTTTTCATAGAATGTTCTTCAGGACCATTGAAGTGAGCAAGCTGTGTCTTCAATCAATAGGTCTTTGATTGAGTGTCGAGAAGCGTGCAGCTCCCGTAGACCTGCAAGTGATGGGTCGGTTTTATGGAGTTGTTCTGCGTGATGGAGAGATTCAAGGAGTGTAATTTAAAACTGAGTTTTTAGTTTTTTCTTGCGTCTGGCGATTTTGATAAGGGTTCTGCGCACTACCGCCTTATGTGCTGCTCACACCATCGCAGTGGAGTCGTTCGGGGCTAAATTACTCTAAAAATAGTCTTTCAGTTCGGTATGAGTAACAGCTGTCATGTTCTCGTCTTTGAGTAGAGAGTTATTTAAATGCCATGTCCATGGCGTCGAGACACCGAGATTATTTAATTAGATAGTCACGTCTGCATGGTCCGACCATCTGATTGAGCCGATCTCTGCCCTGGTTACTTTGGTCATACCCAAGTCATTGACTAGGAAATTGTCAATACGGGAATTTGTGTTATGGGGTGCTGAGAAAAAGGTGAAGTCTTGTGTGTCAGGATGGTGCGCTCTCCATGCGTCTATGAGTCCCATGCGCCGTATGAAATGGTAGAGAAGTTTATCTTCGTCACCCAGTCGGCAGCGGGACACGACACCGCATTGAAGTCTCCCCCCACTATAATGACACGGCGCGCTAGGGAGTCTAGAAGTGTAGCAGGGACATCGGCGTTGGGAAACAGTAAGTAAATAAAGGGCTTTTAACCCTTTATTTACCAGGGAGAGAGGGCGCAGGCAGAGGGAGCTATAGTGCTAGGAATACAGCTTTGTATTTCTGGCACTATAGTATCCCTTTAAGAAAATCCCTACAGTAAAATTATAAAGGTTACTGCACATATAATTTAGGTCTTTATAACATCTTATACAAACACTTTTGATCGCCATGTTGTGCACTGTAATATCTCCTGATATCATCAGAGAAGAGGACAAAGTAAATTGTTTTAGAGGAGAGATGCATTTAGAAACATCAATTTTCACTTCCTTTGCCATTGGTGAGCTGATTGAACTTCAAGGAGTTCTTTGTATATTACATTGTGGATAGTTGCTCAATATATGGATAACATCCCACTCTTTGGGATTTATTCTCTACACACAGACCTAAAACATGAATTGTAAAAAAACAAACAACTAAAAGTGCTGATTTGGAGTTGCCATGGTCACAGTAGCTTGCCTATTTAGGCTCAAATATCTATATTTTAGTTTTCAATTCACTACAAATGGGTGTTTAGTGAATAAACCACTTTTAGTTTGCCAATATCTGAACATCTGTTTTAATCACATTTTACTCTTTCACTTTTTTTTTCTTTATAGGCAGAATGTATTTGAAGTGCATTTATAATGACATTAAAATACAGTTCAAATTGTGTCCAATCACTTGCTAATCATATTATTATTAATGAAGGAATGATTGTACTTCTTATGTACTAGAAGTACTATAGTATTGGGTATAGACAGCTAAAAACTTACACTGAGAGTACATTTTATATAGTATTTGTAACGGCACCCCCCAGGCATAAAAGGGTTAAACCACCATTTAGTAGATCTTCCCCTTCCAGAGACACAGGCACAGCTACTGCAGAACACCAAACTCCTGAACAGAATACAAGGGAATGCTCCAAACTCCCAAACTGCATTCAAGAGAATGCTCCAAACTCCAGAACTGGAACCTCACGAATAGCTGCTAGCAGACGAACAGGAAAAGCACCCAAGCAGCTTACACTCCTGGCAATCAGTCTCTAACAGCATACAGTAAATCCCCCCAAAGACGAGACAGAGCTCCGTGTTGACGGTCAAGCAGTGGTCTGGTTTACTAGCTGCCCGGTATTTATGCAGGTCTCCCACCTGGTGGACACTCCCCTAGGGGACCAGATGGAAGACTGAAACACAGACATGTATCACATTCAGACACACAGAAGTAAAACATCCCCACAATGCATCCTAATTTCCCTCCCTCTATCCTGGAGATAATTGGGAAGTAATCCAATTATCTCCCAGGACAGAGGCAAAACTCCATTACACACGTGGTTATGATAAAAAACTAAAATACAATAAAATACATAATGTTACCTTTATCACATAAAATATATACATGTAACCCATCCCCAGATAGCTGGGATCTGAGCGCACAATTGTGCCGAATAGCGCTCAGATCTTATACACACAGTTTAATTGCCATGGAGCCAAAGTCTTTAATTACACGAATAGGCTCCATAGCAGTGCTATCTGGTTTAAAGCATTCACATAAAACAAAGTCCCGAATGATCAGGTGTTCGGTTAAATAGCCATGAATAGAAGCAAGGAAGGCTGGAGGCTCAGCGGTGCCTGCACGTAAAAGTGTCCGCTTTTAGTGCACTGATTCCGGGCTGAGCACCACTGGCCGTCCAGGATGTTCCATAACACCGCCACCTAGCGGCCGCTAAGTGTAACCGCGGCCACTCAGTAATAGTCAATTAAGCTGCGGTTAACCGCAGCTACTGGGTGGTCAATTAACAGCGCCTGCCGGCTCCCCACGGCTCTGGGGAGGCTAATAGAAGGCGGTTTGTGCGGTAGACTAAATCTACCGAACGGCTGTTCAGAAAGGCATGAATAAACCTTTCTGCACAGTAAAATTAAAGGTTTAACTACCGGTCCATAATCCAAAGGCAGCAGGCAGGCAATCAGGCACCTCCAATGCAATGTGGCGAGATTGGTCTCGTCCCATCTCTCCCCTTTTCTAAACAGACTAACAGGGTATCTGACCTCCTGCCGGTCATTGCCCTTGTTAGTCCAGCAGCCCACCCATAAAACACAATCAGCAGTACAGCCCACCCACAATAAATGGTTACTACACCTGGGTAGAGGAGAAACTTGTCCATGTCCAGGTGCCTCACCACAGCTGTGCAGGGGGACTGGTAGGCTGCCTTGGTGGGTTGCTGAGTGGGCAGAGACCAGCGGTACTCTGCCCTGGTGCCAGCGCTACCACGGAAATAGTCTGTTTGGAGCCTGGTTGTGGGACGGGGAGACTGACTGTCTCCCCTTTGGATACACAGCTCTGCTGCTGGAGGGGGAGACCGACTGTCTCCCCTTTAGATACACAGCTCTGCTGCTGGAGGGGGAGACCGATTGTCTCCCCTTTTGCTAAACAGTCCTGTTACTGGGGAACAGGACTGACCGTCCCTACCCCCTTTGCTGTAAGTGCAGAGACCACGGTCCCATCTGCACGGTTGTGGGGCTTACTGTCTCCCCTGGGTATGTCAAGCTGCCGCTGGAGAGAGGGGGTAACAAGCTCCTCTCCCATACATACTCCCAGCCGCTGGAAAGGGAGACCGACTGTCACCGCTCCCAATACAAAGTCCTGCTGCTGGGGAAAGGAGACTGGGCTCTCTATTCCCTGTAACACACACTGCTGTTGGGGAGCAGGACCGACCGTCTCTGCCCCCGGTAGCTCAGTCTGCCGCTGGGGAATGGAGGCTGGGCTCCCAATTCCCTGTACATTGCTCTGCCGCTGGGAAATGGAGACTGGGCTCCCAATTCCCTGCATATCACTCTGCTGCTGGGGGACAGAACCGACGGTCTCTACCGACTCTGCTCTCCTCTTCCTGTAACTGTACCTGCCGCTGGAGTTCCTCCCAACGTGCCAGCTGGCCCCTCTCTCTGCCCTGTCTAGCAGAGTCCCGAACACCGAGTTCCTAACGAACTGCACAGATCTCTCCAGTGGATCGGGTCCGAAGAAGCTCAGCCGGAACCACACCATACGGTCATACTCTGTCAGGGTCGTTGTACTCAGACATGCGTTGCCCTCAATTTGTAAAATCCAAAGAAATGGTGTCACCTGTAGCTGTCCTTCTGGCTGTAGGAACGATCCCGCAGCTTGCCACCAATTGTAACGACACCCCCAGGCATAAAAGGGTTAAACTGCCGTTTAGTAGATCTTCCCCTTCCAGAGACACAGGTACAGCTACTGCAGAACACCAAACTCCCGAATTGAATACAAGGGAATGCTCCAAACTCCCGAACTGCATACACAGTTCAATTGCCATGGAGCCAAAGTATTTAATTACACGAATAGGCTCCATCATGGCTGTGCTATCTGGGTTAAAGAATTCACATAAAACAAAGTCCTGAATGATCAGGTGTTTGGTTAAATAGCCACGAATAGAAGCAGGGAAGGCTGGAGGCTCAGCGGTGCCTGCACGTAAAAGTGTCCGCTTTTAGTGCACTGACTCCGGGCTGAGCACCGCTCTCCGTCCGGGGAGTTCCATAACACCGCCACCTAGTGGCCGCTAAGTGTAACCGCGGCCACCCAGTAATAGTCAATTAAGCTGCGGTTAACCGCAGCTACTGGGTGGTCAATTGACTGCACACGCCAGCTTCTGGGCGGCCAATTAACAGCGCCTGCCGGCTCCCCGCAGCTCTGGGGAGGCTAATCGAAGGCGGTTTGTGAGGTAGACTAAATCTACC